GCATTGTGTACTTCCGGTTTAACAAAGCATGCAAGGTCCAGGGCATCGAGAAGCCGTATACCTCCAAGCTGCAGCCATATGGCATGATTGTTGGCCTTGTTGGCGCGGCTCTCCTCGCGCTGATTAACGGGTTCACCGTCTTTTTCCCGTCCGAGTGGTCCGTGAGTGACTTCTTCACGGCGTATATTGGCATTCCCGCTTTCCTGGTGCTATACTTTGGTCACAGGTTGATCTTCTGGGACGATCCGTGGGCGTGGCGCAGTGAGGAGGTGGATATGCAGACGGGTTTGGCGGAGATTATTGCCGCGGAGAAGCCGCCCAGGATTAGGGACACGTGGTGGAAGAAGATGTTGGCTATTGTTGAATGATTTGCTACCGTGTAATTAGTTCTTATGTACAATTGATACAGGAATATCAATGTGGTCAACCTCATATAAAATCACTACACAAATCTGGACGTAGGATCTGGCTGACCAGAGGTACGTCTGAATGTCTCGCGCATAAGCGCTGTAGTATTCTTGCCACCAATGGGTGATCCTGAATATATGTACAAAGGTGTGCCGTAACGCGTCTATCAAGGGTATATACATATACACAGTGCGATACAACTAAGTACCTTTCGCAGCATCTGCACCGATCGGTTCAGGAATAGATGTTATCCGGCCGAACGAGCCAAAACGCAAGTCGGCCCAGAACCTTTTCGTCTCCTCTACATACCTCGTCTTCTCCAGCGGCACCTCCCAGTGCCTACTATGCGATTCTGCTATCTCAAGATACGGCGCCAGGGTTCGAGTCAGATTGGACTTTGGGGTTCCGGGAAAGTGAACCAGAAGATCACCAGGGGCCACCTGGAGATGGAGCGGCGTATCAGGGCTGAGATCTATCCCGTTCGGATGTCTCATGTAGGCATTGAACCACCGCAGCGGGCAGTACACGGTCGAGCGAGCAAAGTATTCGTTCTCGGCTAGGACATTGCTGAGCGCGGACTGCTCGAGCCACATAAGCTGGACGTCAGGCTTCACGACCGGGTAGGCGATGGCGGCCGAAAGCAATTCCACCGACCAGGGATGAACGCGAAGGAAAAAGACCCCGCTGTGCAGCCCGTTCCAGTCCCTGCTTGCCAACAGGTGCGTGTTAGACATTTCTGGCGGGGGAACGAATATCTCCAACAGCATGTTAGGATTCATCAGCACCGTGTCGCTGTCGAACCAACTGTGCAGCGTCAGCGTGTTTCTCGTCAGTGTTCAAGTTTACGTGCCAGGTGTTGCAGGTACTCACAAGAGCCACTGCAATCGCTGGTCGGCCGGCTTTTCCAGTTCCCGGAGCAGGACTGACTGAAGAATGGCGAGCTTGTTCCAAATCCCTTTCAGTATTGGATTCCGCAGAACCGTAAGGGGGTAACCCAGTCGCCGACTGTGCTCCTTGTGTGTCTCCAAAGTTCTCTCGTAAATCGGATGGTTCCCGTATATCATCGTCACCTTGCCTATTGTCGGGGTACGCTGAGATGCCTCTGGGGTTGCAATTTTGTCTGTGGTGTGTTAGCACCATATCATCGTAGATAATTAATTGCTCGCGCATGTTAAGAAACATACGGTAATTGGAAAACAGGCTCAGTAGTCCAAAGACACCGAGAAAGGCCAAAAGTACGTGTCCAACAGCGTTCAACTTGAGTCGCTGGCTGCCAATCTGGTAGGACCTGGCTATGGAGGGATCAGACTTGCATATTGACATTTTCCGTCTTGGGATAGGCAATGAGTCTATATCCAAGAAAGGATGGACGATCGAAACAGACTTGAAGCGGGAAGGCATGGGTTAGTAGTATGCGCAGCTAATCGTAAAGCGATCAGACCCAGAAATTTGATTCATGGGCTCACCGGATCATTCTCTCTGAAGTACTTAAAGGGTATTCTTCAAGCTCCAGGACCTGAGCAGGTAGTGTTGCGTCGACTTAATTGTATGGGTAGGCGCCGGTTTCGCGCCGAGCCACCAACTGGGCCAATGGTGTTGGGATGCTCAACATGCAAGCCATTTCGAAACAATCCCTACTTGGCGCGTCAACTCACTGCCCTATAAAAGTGAACTAAAGCCATAGGCCTGGCCTAAAGGTACGGCTAGAACAGTCGCGCTTATGAGCGAGGATTTTAGGCAAGCCTATTTTGGGCTCGGTTGCAAGCAGGGTCGAGTCATCATCATCGTTTTAGTCAGGAAAGCGAGGATTTGTGGATTCCCTCTTTTGGTTAGTTCTGCCGTTCTTCGTATGGTCTCCCGATACACCATCTTATAAATACCACCTCCATTAGGACCTCTAGGATATCTAGACTAGAAGGAATCTAAGTTAGGGTCTCTAACCAAGCACCACTGTTCTATAGCATTCAAGGGAACATAAATTCCGTTCTGGGTATGATATACGAATATATGGCTCAACTTAAGAGGCTTGCACAAAAAAGAGTTACTGCGTCATGTGTTTAGACATCTCAGAGCAGTTGACCACCCAAGAGGCATTTCTTATGCTGATTTACGGAATATCTAGACGATTTCATCTGATATGCCACATAATGTCATTCATGAGTACATACTCATGGCTATGTCCCCATATGGAGGGATCTGATATGGGAAGATTGGCTTAGAAGACGTTCAACAAGAGGAAATCAACCACGTGAGGTCTTCATCGAGGGAGAAAGCCAGATAAGAGGTATCTGATTACGTGAAACAACTCATTGGGATGGATACGTTCTAGAACAGCTGTCTCATGCCCAATCTAGAAATGAGAGGTACGCGTGGTCTATCGCCTAGGCCATGCCATTGTTTTGTGGAAGACAGAGAAGCACAGGCAAGTATAACCCAAGGTTCTTCTACCATAGCAACGACCATCCAGTCGTGGTAACAGCTGGAATGTCGACAGGAGAGAATATCAAGGAGAAACTTAAGGTCATATAATGTAAGCGTTTGTCTGTCTTGACATAGGTAAACCTCTGTATTCGCATAAAGATCTTGGGAAACCCAGTTGGAAAACCAGGACCGACGTAGGGGGAGTCGGCTAGCGGCCGACGGAAGGACGAGAGAACTAGGGTCAACATGCTATCAAACGAAGGACACAAAATCGAAAGCAAGCCACATAATCAAGATGCGCAGAGACAATCGAGTTCTCCTTCAACCCAGGAAACGGAGGCGACCGGAGCTGGTGCAGAGGCCAGCAGGTCATTGCTACTGGCGAGGAGTAGAATTTGCTCCATAAGTGGATCCTCCATAAGTTCCTCCAGTAGTAGCGGAAGTGTATCCAGGTCCAGTAGTAGATCCGTAGGATCCAGTCTATACCCAGCAAGCACGCTTCAATCAACCCAGGTCGCCCGAACATGCCAGGTTGTGTGGGTAACTTACTCCATCTCCATTTGGCCCAAGAAGAGTGGCATCATCAATATAAGACCCAGTGTTCCCTCCAGATCCAGAAGATGGCTATTCCCAGTAAACACGCTTTAATTCACGCAGATCACCCAAGCACGACAGGTCATGGCAGTCACTTACGAAATACGACCCTCCATATCTATTCACCTATTCCGAGCAAATCGATTTCAGTTAGTCCAAGTCATATAAGCAGGATAGGGCATGGGAGTTACTAACTCCAGATGATCCTCCAGAAGATCCTCCAGAAGATCCTCCAGAAGAAGCGGATCCTCCTCCTCCAGTATAAGTAGATCCTCCGTAAGTAGACATAATTATGACTTAGACGTTCTCTGTTTCCGTAATGAGTTTTGTAGTTTGTATTTCTTCTCGCAAGAATGTGTGAATAACAAGTTAATCTTTGATTTAGTGCGTCCTTTTGCTTTGTGCAGGGTTTATGTAGATTCCTCTGGTGCGTGGTCGATGCCTTGGTAGATAAGCCTGATCTGTAAACAGTGAAACATCTGTCCAACTCAGTGCAGGTCAGTGCAGGTAAATTGGTGGACCTGTCCGGATCAGAAGGCATGTATGTAGGGCTCTACGCTTGTGTTGTGAAAACCACCTCAATGTGATTGCACTGCCCGGAAAACGCCAATCGGCGTCAACGGAAATCAGGTCATTGGCTGATAGCAGTCGCACTGCATCAGAGAGCAATGGCTGAATCACCACCATGGGCTGGAGATTCAGCCTCACTAGCAAATCGCCAATAAGCATCTATCTGTTGTGTCGTCTGTCCTTGCGGGAACAGAAATGGGATACTAGTGGTCGCCTTGTGTTCCTTTGCTTTTCACAGTAGCTTGTTGAACACATACAGTACCATAGCATTTAGCCTGCATGAGTCAACACCCAACTTCCACAACAGATATAATCTTCGTATCATAGCTACTCGACTAGTTGCACGGCAAAGGCTGGAGGAAAGGCTGGCTCAATAATAATGTTCTTGGCTGCAGTGATTGGCGGCTGTGTGCTGAATAGTGGCAGTGCTCTGACAGGGAGAAGAGCACCTTGTTTAGGTGCATGCGGCACACGCGGGCCAGGGGAAAAAGCACTGTGAGGGAATGGAAAGTTCTCCATGTTACATTCATGTCCTCTCTAATATGACTCTGCTTAACAGGGCGAACTGAGCTCATTGGCTCCTTACTCGATGAACTCCCTCACGAGGTTCCTCAATGATCAATGCTAAGAATAAGGGGGGTGGTTACTTAGCCTCATTCCCTTGGTATTTCTATCTAAACTTGGGTCCCTGATTAGCTGACCTTAGGGTTATTTAAACCTGGGCCTCTCCCGCATGGTTTTTCAAACAACCGATCTTAATCCTCTCCTGAATTGATTGTGTTCGACCTCATTCGTCCTGAATGCAAACTAGTCTGTACAATTTTAGCAGGTTCTGATCTATATTAGTCTGGGAGTCAAGACATCCCTCTCCGGTTAGGGCTTTGGTGCTCATTCCTCGAGTCCGACTCTTATCCGCAACTCAGCCTTGGCTGGTCCGTTCAGCTCTCCTTCTCAACACTAGTCGCTATCCGTCTGAGCTCGACGATAAATCTCCAAACAGCTAAGAGATGGGCGCGGGGCCAGCGGCCGGGTTCTGGCCGCCTAACAAACTTGTTCTCAATGTGTGTTTTCTCAACGGAGGCGAATATGAACAGAGTACGGTCAAATCCTTGGTCAGAATGCATTATAACTCTATCCCCATGCGCCTCCGCTTCAAGTTCCTATCAGAATGGGACACAAGCCCTTCCGACATTCGTATTCTATTCACAGACCATTCCAAAGCCTATATCGGACGTCAAGCCGAGGCCTACCCAGGCCAGCCTACCATGTGGCTCAATATGCACCCTAGATTGCACACGCAGGACGCCGCTCGGGACAAGGTGCAAGCCGACGTTCTCCACGAGTTCGGGCACGCATTGGGCCTGGTACACGAGCATAAGCACCCGCAGTGCAAGGCCAAGTGGAACTACGGCCAGCTTATGGACAGGAATCGATGGGATTTGGACTTGGTGCGCCGCAACTACGACGATGATACGTCTAGCGCCATCAATGCCAGGTGGGACCGGGCGTACGATTCAAAGTCGATTATGCACTACGCTATCGCGAGGGGAGACACGCAGAGCGGGCTGAGGGAAGTCCCTGAGAATATTGTGCTCTCTGACGGCGACAAGGAGACGTTAGCGCTGATCTACCCATCGGTTGCTGTTGTGAAGCAACACTCCACAGTGCCTAAAGAGCCCACGAAGGGCCATGTGAAGGAGAAAAGGGAGAAGAAGATACGTCCTGAGAAGCTGAAGCCCTATCAGAAATCGTATGTCAGCGGGAACAACTCTGCCGTGGTTTGCGGAGGCTACGTAAAGGTAAGTGGTAACGCGAGTGCGACAATCCATGGCGGCGGCGAGGTTGTCGTCTCCGGCAATAGCAAGACGGTCGTCTATGGTGATAGCACGGTCCGGGCCAGCGAAAATGCCTATGTTTATGTCAACGGCGGTGGCTCTGCAAGGGTGAGTGGGAACGCCGCGGTCGAATTCACAGGCACAGCCACAGGAGATGTCACTGAGAACGGTTCTATTCGTTGGAACGTCTGACTCTTGGGGTTCGGGTATATTTGTTCTAAAGAAGCCTCTATCTCAAAGACCGAAACCAGCATATTAGACCTACCATTTGCTTTTCTATTAACAGAGCCTAATGCCGGCCGACCCACACTCGTGTCTAGAAAATCAACACCCTCGCCAATCAATCAACACTCCATTAACCTGATTAACCTGGTGCTGCCTAACTAGTAGCATGATGGCTATGCGGGTGCTTCCACCGTTGGAAGCAAGCAAGAGTGATCCGAACGCCAGCACGCATGAAACAGTAGATATATAGGAAACGACGTGTTGCCATATAAATCAGCCTAAAAATCGGCCTAAAAAATACTGGAACGCCCTCCATGTCCGCATCACTCAGTAGATCCCTCAGCTGGCCCTTAATGGCCAGCTGCTTCCTCTGCATCTCTACCTCCGCCTGCCTCTGGGTATCCGCCTATCCTGTTGGGTTCTGATAGTTGTGTGCAATCCTGTTTGTAATAATCCCCTACTTGTTGCTTTCTACGCAGGGCATTCAGATGAAGTTTCGTCTGCTTTCATTATCCTAAGCTGATGTGCACTTATGTCAAGCATACTTGTTCATTATCATTGCTAGCTTTTATAGTAATGTCCACAGGTCTAATTTTAGGACATTGCAGGCAGTTGTTGTTATTCAACAAACTACAACAAAGGCGGAATAGCGACAGTGGTATAGAGTATCTTTGTGCGAGCTGGGGAACTTCTGCTGACCATGAGCATACATTGAGCAGACCACGGGCTGTCTGTGGCTCAGCAGATGACCGAACCTAAGAACCCTGACCCACCCCATAATTTCCGACTGAAGGTGCTTTCTCCGTGCTGACAAAGACATAGCATACTTGTTAAGGGGGCAACTAACTATATGCACTATTTTGTCGCCTCTGTTTGCTGTTGCACGTCCTGAATCAGTCCAGCAGTGTCCGCCGGGCGATGATAATGGACTTGTGAAGCCGGAGACAGTGCAGCATGGCTTGTACGCATAACAGCGTAGTCTTTGGGGACATGGCCCTCTAGTCCTCTCTGTAAACCGACTGAATTATTTGCGTTAGTGTTCCTCGTACCCTAGAATATAGAGTATAAACTTACATATCAGGATATACGCCCACTCCACGCCAAGGGGAATCCAAGTCGCTAATGCCAGGAATTGGCCAAAGGTCCATTCTAATGCTGGGTCATTGTGTCCAACATTCTCTATGATGAGGCCTCTCATAGACAGCAGCAGCCCAATCGATGCCCACATAAGCACAAAGCACGCAATGGAGGCAAATGCTCTCAGAGAGTCTCCATATAGGCGTAGCGAATTTGCAACCAGACGCCAGGCTTTCGTTCGTTCTGCCTGGTTTTCTGACTCGCTTCGGCAAACACGAAACAAAACAGCAGCAGCAGTCAACAACACAACTAGGCTGACAGGAACAGCAAGAAGGACATAGAACACGGGCGAGCCATACTTGCGGAACATCCTATCCACAGTCGATGGATTACAAGCTGCGCCTAGGGAGCTCTTTATTGTTGATCCAACAATAGTGCGGGATATGGCCAGTCGGATTTGAACGAGGACTAGCACATACAAGCTGATGTGAACGATGCCCACTAGCCACCGGCGGCGGCCACGATTTTTGATCAGGAGGCCAAGTATGAGGACGGGAAAAAGTGAGAAACACGAGACGATGGTGGCGAGCTGGGTGTCATATGCACTAACAGCCGAGCCGCTTCTCCAGGCCTGAAGAGCCCTCTCAGCGTTGACTCTAGCCTGTGATGTTATACGTAGAGAGACTATCAGCATGGTCAAGCTCAGTACTGCAGCACTGCTCCAAAAATTTGCGATGCTGCCACGGAAAGCGTCAAGGGCTCGGGCTGCAGCAGAGATATAGCCCACTGTTTGCTTTGAAACAGATCTTTCCTGGCACAGGCGGCTTTTCAGGTGGTGCAAGCCCATTGCGACCAGAAACAGTGATACTAAAGCTGCTTCAATAATATAGGCAATCATCACCTTAGACAGTATATCATGCTTAGCAAGAATACGTTAAGCGCCCTACGGGGAAACAGAAGACTGACCCCATTCCCTACAAGATCCGCATTGCCCTGGAACCCAACAGCGCCGCAGTATGCATCGTGGCAAGGCCCTTGCGCAGCTTCATACACGCTATTAAACATTTCCTCAGCACCGATTCCACTGGTGTAGTTCGCCGCGATAGCCTGCCATAGTTCTACAATCTGCGGCACTGTCGGTTCAGGGGAGATGTGTGGAGGAAACGCAGAGCGGAAATACTGCACAGTAATCCCAAGTGGCGCATTAAGGAGACCGTTTCTCGAAATACCAGCGAAGAATTTGCCGAATAGATCGCAATCGCGAGTTAAGTTGTATTCGCTCCATGCTGGCGGCGTCCATGAGAGATTACTTGCTCCCATCACGCTACCCTGTTTGTTTCGCCTACTTGACTCTCTGGAGTGCGTCTCCGTTTGAAGCTTGATGAATAATAGGGCTCGGACAGACGGAGACGCCGCCTTTAAAACATGCTCACTGTACTTTGTGGTTCCTTAAACTGGGTCTGGCCGTCCAGGATCCATGGCGGTTTGGGAGATTTTAAAGATCTTAAAGGAAAGTGAGATTTTAGTGCAAGTCCGTGCGAGGTGCCATTGTATTTGTATTCGGCGTAGCACCAAGAGCATGAGGCTAATGACAACGTAGCCTTCGACTCCTCGAGGACAAAAGGCTTACCAAAGTTTAACTGTATAAAAACCTGTGATACATAACAATAAAGCAATCCAACCACACTCTACGTGACCAGCATCTTTAGAAGTTTTTATAGTCTACTATGCTCAGGATATTTCAGTATAGTCTATTGGTGCTATTTTTATACTAAATACGATAAAAATTATTATTATAGATGCTTGTATCTCCAGTCTTATTACTTAGTTATTTCTTAAGAAATATTATTCTTTTATAGATAAAGCATAGTTCTATAAGAAGCCTTAAATACTCTATTATAAATAATCTTATATAATATTAAGTAGATCAGAGGTAGACTTAGGAGTCTCTATAAATAGCTTATATATACTTAAGACTTAGGGCCTGTATATAAGTATTTTTCATCAGGTAGATATTGGATACCACATTAGCTAGCTAGACCATGATTAAGGAAGCTCAGATGAGGACTCTAGACGATCTGGGACTGATTCCTCATCTTTTATACTAATTACAATCTGATCTTCCTATTGTGCAAGTCCTAGCCTGATGGCATGGTCATGTAGAGATACAGCGTTCTAGTCTATCCTCAATAGCCAACTCGTGTTGATCAATATCCCACCGCAGTCTATTTAATCTGCGGCCGATTACCCCACCAAATACGAGACCCCGCAGCTGCATAGCTGAGCCAGATATGTATATAACCCTAAATCCATCTCTGCAGATCCGTCATTCTCTTTCTACAACCAACCAACACCATGGCCAGCAATACACCGGAAAATTCCCCATTTCCCATGAAAGGCGGCTGCGCCTGCGGCCTCATCCGCTACCGCCTCGAAACCCAGCCCCTTATCATCCACTGCTGCCACTGCACCTCCTGCCAACGCGAGACCGGCACCGCGTTTGCCCTAAACGCAGTCATCGAAGCTACAAGGGTCACGCTCTTTCCCTCATCCACACCAACCGTCCCTGCTTCTGCGGAAAGCCCCGCGAAACCAGCCGGCCCGACAATCACCCATGAAAACCCAGATCAGATAATTGAGCCAGAAATGGTCCTCACGCCCTCTGAATCAGGCAAGGGACAGAATATTGCGCGCTGTCCTAAGTGCCGCGTAGCGATCTGGTCGAATTATGCGGGGGCGGGGCCGATTTGTCGGTTTGTGAGGGTGGGGACGCTGGATGAGGCGTGGATGGTTGGGCCGGATGTGCATATCTACACGAGGAGTAAGAGGGAATTTGTGAGGTTAGAAGATGGAGTACCGCAGTTTAGGGAGTTTTATCCCCGGGAGGAGGTGTGGAGGAAGGAGAGTTTGGAGAGGTGGGCGGCGATTTGGCCGGAGGTTAAGAGGTATAAGGAGGGGTTGACTTGATATTGTATGTATGCAAGCCGTTGTTTTATGCTATACTTAGCTATCTTGCAGGGTTTATAGTATTATGGATTGAAATGAATAGGCATGGATAAGTTAAAGTATACTCTGTGATAATATCCAAAACGCGGCCAATACCAGCAGATGTCTCTGCTCATGCTAAGATATGCTTCGTTAATTGACCAAGAACTATGCAGTCTGACACAGAGGATCACTATTACAGTCACATAAACGGATGCTTTCAACACGATACGCAAATCTCTGGGATGAAGTGGCCAAGCCTTTGTATGTTGACTGTGACACCTTTCTTTGATACTATGTATTCTTCGAACAAAGACATTCGAGCCTCGAACCCGACTGGCCAATCTGCCATAGACGACCTAATTATCCATATTCGAATATCAATAAGTTCTGCCCTGCTTATTGATCTAACACAGCCGCAATGCCTGCCATCCTCGAAACGAGCAAAGAGCGTATCCAAGATATAACGGCCTCGTCTTCGTCCTCATTGCAAACCTAAATCAACAACTCAAGCTACACCTGCAGTTATGAATTTACGGATCAACACTATGCAATTCTCTCTGCTAATAGGAGCAACCCTTCTCCTCCCCCTCTCCGTCCTGGCATATCCAGATCTAAATCCAAACCCAATCACCGTCCTCCGGAAATGCATCCCCCTCCTCGGTGACATTGGCGAAAGCGAAGCATGGTTCATTGCGAACCTACAGTGTAACTATGCTGTAAGTCCAACGCCCGTCACTACCTTATGTTGATACTGACGTGACTTGGCTTAGTGTCGAAAAGATGGACGCAATGGGGGTGGATGTGATAGGGCTGCATAGTAAGTTTACCTTTACCTTACTCCTCAAGTATAGGTGTGTTTTGCTGATGGACTGCAGTGAATGTCTCTGCTCTTAGCTGGTGTTGAGTGCGTTGATTGAGTTGTAAGTTGTGAGGTCATATTTGATGTTAATGTCAATATTTGATTCAGGATATACTTTGAAACACATACTAATAACATGCACAAAGAGATGGTTACACAGCTACTCATTCTCAAGATCAGCTATTGTCTAAACAGGTATTAATAGTTATTTTAGTTTCAATAGCATTAGTATATCTTTGTAAATATTCCGGACAGAGAATGTAAATGTCTATTGTAATCTACGTTTCTTCCTGTTGAGTCTACTAACTGATACTTTGTGCAGCGTGATTACTCGCCAGGTCTTATTATATTAGGCATTTATGACTGCTATCACGGGTGCGCTGTACACATATAGAAAGGGATTAGTCTTAGTACCCCGCCGTCTGTCTAAGCGCCTAAGGAATGTATGTCCGAATGAGATAATTGTCACAACCCTGTTACGTTCACAGTTTACCATCTCTCATATTCTTGTGAGTTGTATAGTCATGGATTCCTCGAGCATCAGAGTCTCAAATGAGTTCGTCCATGTTGTTTGGGCATCCCATATCCTCTCATTGCTGAACCCTTACACCAGTACCGCAGGTGGGAAGGAAGTCGACGACGAGGACGGAGAGGACTTTGACGACGACGTAGACCAGGATTTTACAAGTGCAGACGCTCAGCCCCTAAGCACTAACAGCGACATACTCCGCCAAAAGTTTCTTGATTGCATCTGTGAACTTCTTTCCCACACCAAAGGCGGCAAGTTCGTCACAGCTGCGGCACTCAGGGAGAAGGAAAATGGAGTCGAGGTCGACATTGCTCGAAATAACGGCTTAGATGCAGACGACGACGAAGAATATCTGGACTCTCTGAAGCAGTTCCTCGCCATGCAAGCTCGCGGTAAGCCCTAATCCGTCGTGGACAAGGCATGTTCTAATGAAACCGCTCCAGAGCTTCCACATCCCGCGCTCGCTGAGTATTCACACACCTTCTTGAAAACCACGATTACATATAGCAGGACAAGGGTGGATGCCCAGGGTGAGGCCGTGGCTCAGCTCCTTAGAGGCACGCTGTTCCGTCCTCTACAGAGGTCGATCGCACGAGAGTATACAGTAGACACCTGTTTACTCGGTTGCTGTTCCGCTCCACTCCAGCCGGTCTTTACCCATGCTGAGAGTCTTGTCGTACAATTATTGAATTTTGATCACTGGAGCTCAGGGCAGGATCCAAGTGAACAAAGGCAGAAGATGGTGGAACTAGCAGCTGCCACTGTCCGCTCACCACAGGTCACCCAAGGGGCGCTTGAAAGAATGCTCCCTTCTGTGGATTCTCATAAAGTCATTCGAGCGTGGCGTGTTCTAGCAAGGCCATTGACGAATCTCAGGATTCTCTCACAAATAGCGCGGCTACTTCCCAACTTCCGAAATATTACCTTTATTCCCATCTCACGTCCCGCCCCTGTCAAACTCCAGAGCGGCCAAGTTCCAACAATCCAGGAAGCGTGGAAGTCTCTCGGTCTATCCCGTGGACGTGGACCAAACAGCGGCTTTCCTCCTGCTCTGACTGGAAAAAGTAACAAATTTAGGGGCAGCTGTTGCTCCGAGCTCGTTACCCACTGTGAAATACAGCTCTTGACGCGATACGAGGCAGAGCCGTCGCTGGTGCCGAGGCTGCCTTATTTCGGGTGTAGTAAGAAGACTTGTTTCCTCTGCGAGTCGTTCCTAGAACTGTCGCCGCTGAACATTCGCACGCGTGGTCGACACGGACAGTGTCATCCTCTATGGGCCATACAACCGTGCGATTCTGAAGATGCAAGACAAAGACTAAAGCACTTGTGTAAAATTGTCAAACAGAAGATTAAGGCAAGACGTAACCCACGTCATAACCCTCCGCCAGTTGCTATCCAGCAGTCGTCGGCCGTATCTGAGTTAAAGTCCGCCGATATACTTGAGCACGTGCGCCAAAGCAAGAACCTAGAGGTAGTTGCTCAACAAGCTCGGGAACTGCGTGAAAAGAGGCGAATTCTGTAAGCTTGGTTTAGCCGATGCGCATCAAATTGGTGCTTCTCTGACCCATTATACAGCCTCGATCCTAGATCCGTCGGCCCGCCGAGTATATGGTATCGTGATTTACGGACACTTTGCGTCATGTGCCAGTGGCCTTGTGCACGGAGGTGTACCCGATGCCTCTCCAGCTGGTACTGTTCCAAGAGATGTCAGAGCGTCGACTGGCCATCCCACAAGCTCCTATGCTCCCGATATCGCAATTTCCTGGCCAGCCGCCCATCAGAGGACCACTGGCTCGGCATCTGGTTTCCCAGAGACACAGCCCGGCCAAAGCTCATATGGGCCCCTATCTATTCTCCAGAATGGGGCTTCCACTTTCCCTCTTTCGACCCATACCTCGGCCTGAACCATGGGCTTCTTTTCACCATCCCATTCGTCGAAAACAAAAGAAGAACCCTGGAGCTCGACCACCATCTTACAATATACTATCGCGATTATGATACAGTGACTAACAAGTCCGTCCACGCCGCCGTGGAAGCTTGTCCTGGCATGAGTACGTCTTACAATATGCTCGGCGAGTACGTGGTGATGAGCGGCCAGTACGGATCACACACGGGCACCGCCGACCACGCATTCAAGGATATGACTCTTGCCGACTTCCGCCATGCGCTCGACTGGTTCAGCACATGTTTCGATGAGACAGTCCGGGAAATCCCGAGCGGTGGCTCCTCCGTGCTTGCGGTTCAAGTTAGCAGTCCCCTCAAGCAGCACAGCTCCGGTCGAAACCTTTTCACATCCGTAGCTATTGATCGAGATTTCCCAAGCACGAGCAACGTCTCTCCCCTATCACAGGCTCTTGGCCTTCCCATACGAGTGTGTCAATTGGATCCTCGGGCCGATCTAACGGACGAGCCGTCTGAGGAAGAAACGAGCTGGACGAATCCATATACCCAGATCCTGATGACGGAGATCGATCCGGAATCTGACAACTGGGGTAACACTCGACGGCACGTTGATATCCATGGGAGCGTCTTGCTCCGTCGATTGGATGAGGAGGACCTGGATCTGGCCACGGCAGAACACATGTGTTTCTACTGCCTTGAGGTGCTGAAACCTCTTTTTGACAAAGCACTCTCTGGCGAGGTCTCTCGCCAGGACGTTCTAGACGAGATTACACTGGAGAAGGCTACCGAGTGGAAACCGATCGATGCGTATACCCGGGTTACTGGGGAGCAACAAAGACCTCAACGTGGATTTGTTAGGAGGATGTAGTCCTCTGTCTGGGAGTGAGTGGGGTATACGCGGGACTGCTGGAACACTTGTTTCTCCAGACGCTGCGGCAGCAGGCCGATCGCAAATCCAACGTTCGCAAGAATCCCGAATAGTTCTTCGATAATTTGGACCGCTATCCAAAGCCATGAACGAGTAACCTTCATCAGAATCCTTTGTCGCAACTTGCCCTCCGTCGACATGGATCTCAATACATGGCCCCCTTCAGCGCGCGAAAGCCAACTCTTCCCGTACCTGGAAACAAGGAACCCTGCGAGCTTTGCCCACGTCCGATGCAAAATGGCTTTTTGGCCGCATGCTGGCGATCCACGGTTGCGAGAGTTTCTTCCAGATCCAGACGGCGCCTCGGCGAATGAGCATCGAATGACATGGACGGACCAATGCTTGTTGAAGATAGATTGGGAACTCGACGAGGATAAGTGGTCAGCTTCCTATTACCCGTAAAGGTATGTCCACTCTGGTCTTCATATCATGCAATGCTGACGCGTGCAGTGCTGGCGGAGTCGAAACATCGGGCAACGAGAGGAAGAGGCCGTCAAGGAAGGTTGACCTGGGCTACTGCGGCCCTGATGATCGCGATCAAGAGCAAGTCGTTGGATGTCTTTCAAGAGACAGTGGAATGGAGCAAGCGATTCCTTCGAGATCCGGTAGGTTATCCCAGACCTGACGGCTCAACTGTCCGCTAAGAACATAGGTTGTCTTTCCGGGACTATTGGATATCCTTTTCAGCAGTAGTACAGCGCCAATTCTATCCCACACGTACATTCTACGCCCGAGAAGGCCAGAAACACTGCCCGAATTGAACGCAGTGGTGGAGAAGGCTAACGAGGTTCTCCGGTCGTACTTGGACATCGCACACCTTATTGTTCGCGAGCCGCATTACCAGAGGAATATGACCTGCGGCATCCCCTATCTCTTTAGCGGAATAATATCCCAGAGAATCGAGGAGGTTGAGTTTGTTAGTGCAGGCACCGAATCCGAACGCGTCGACATTCTGCTGTACTCTTTGCTACCTATCATTCTTGAATTCGAGCGCCTGGCAAACAGCGAGGACCCCGACAAGTTCACATGGAGTGGCTTCAGGGGTGTAGTCTATGGTATTGGCAGCCTCGACGACGAGCATAAAGCTGTCCTCCCATTCCTGGATCGTATGGCGTACGAACGGAATCAGTTCTGGGTTGAGAAAAGGACGGACGAAAACCCCGAAATCACGGATCTACCCCTAGGTTTCCCGCGAGGACTTCCCCTGGAATATCTCCTCCCAAGTTTGCAACTGACCCATCTTGCCAACAAGTACCCGGACGATATGCCATACGTAGCGTCCAGACTTGCTAATCACGCAACCGAGCTATTCCACCATCTTATGTCACGATGAACTTGATCAAGCTCCTGCAGAAGACAGACCAACCGCCGCTGGCTATTGATGTTGTGCTCCCAAATCCTCAATGCCGTCAATTGATTTAATTTCTATTTCTAACTTTAATTTCGCATTATTCCTTGTTGGTAAGGCTAGAAAGAATGGGATTTTGCATTTTTCATGGGTAGATGAGCCACATTTGAGTTCTTGATGTTCGTCTTGTAAATTGCAACACAGCTAGACTGATTAAGCACTTGCCTGGGAGGACGGCAGGCAGATAATACTGTTAGAAGAGAGATAGCATCAATCAGTGCGTTCATTCTTGGTCGCAGAAGTACCACTTTTGAGAGTGTACATTAGATCAGTCAATCCTCCGACAGATAACGTCCAGCTCACATGATAAAACAGTCCTTTTTTTCCAATATTGCTCTCAGGTCCCCCGGCGAGGAGAAAAATAGCTTTTATTTTAAATTGCTCGAGCAAGGCTTGCTGAAAGCTGATGCTGCTCTCACCCATAAATCTCCGATGACTTTGGGAGAGCCCGTAGTACCTAGGCCAGGAGACTTAGGGGCCCACCACACACTTCGGAATCCCACCTGTGTGATATTAATCTTCGAAGTCTGCCTGTAGGTACACTCTGTTGGCTTACCAAGATTGCATTTCAGCCTGCCTGCCCAAATGAAATTCTTTTGGGCTTCGTTATACCCCCATTGCCTTGAACCCGACCAATATTAGTGGTTTGAATCATATCACGAAGAAAGTTCGACTTACTCATTTCCACCCCCTCCCGAAACCTTTCCACCTCTATCCCATACACAGTTAATCCGTCGTTTAACAGGGTTAGAAGCAGTGCTAATTGCAGAACCTGATGGATCGCAGCTTTGAGCTGGGCATGTGCGGGGCTGTGCTGTGCCCTGGCCGACAACCGTGCATTCCGCAGAAGGTGGGCCTGTTAAGCCTAGCCCAGGAGTTTCAGGGCGTACCACACATCTTGGAATGCTGCCTGTCCAGCATTAGGGTTTATCTGTCTGTCTACCCACTGAGAGACATATAACTTACTGGTATGGCAGTTTTGTAGTCTAGCCGCCGGGATGAAGCTCTTTTGATCCTTATTGTAGCCCCACGATCTCGAAAGGCCGCCAGTGTCAGCGATCTAAACATCTCCCATCTGAAGGTCGTTTTACATACTTTCCGTGACCAGCTAGGCCGCCGTGATCCCACATACAGTCAATCCTTGTGTGGCCACTAGCAGACCCTGACTTGTCACAATCTGTAGCCGGACACCACCAGGTAGTGCGTGGCTGTGTAGTACGGCATGTCGCAGCAGCAGCAGCTATGCCGACATAGATAAGAATAGCAAAGAGACGCATATTACCGTCAGCTTGATCAACTGGTGTGAACGAATAATTATTATAGTATGCGCACAGCATCTGCAATGAAAGTGACACCAGCGAAGAGGTTGGCTCTATTTAAGCCTGTTTGACCTATAGAGAGACTTATCGGCGTTTGTAGTAAAAAACAAGATATGATGACGTTAAGCATTGTTGTGGCAATCAATATACTATGGCCCAAGTTAACCTTATTTTGGGTATGCCAAAACATTGTTATTAGCGGCCCATGGGAATGCCAAATCGGATGATCCTGGGCTGCATGCAAGCATCCAAAGCTTCGGCCGGCCACTCAAATCTTAGATGGAGCTGTTCTAGACCAAGAGTCATGAGATTAAACGCAACTATTCTCGGACTCACTTGAGTCTTCCGAGCATTGGGCGGTCCTAAGATCATTCTATTTGCGGACTGTCTTGACAACTTCGCAGTATGTTTGTTTGCACCTTCTTTCTGTGCTGGCTTTGCCTACTTCGATTCCTTGGGACTATGTACGAACAGTACAGAATCGTTGTATTATGCGATGGATGTGATCTAGCTCCAAAATTAACCGCCTCATGACACTGTCGGTTGATAAAGGCTGCTGAAGAATGTATCCCTCCAAGATCCTTGCTTATTCTCTCTAGTAGAAGCTGTAACCCTGGAAATGACTTCACTATAGAGGGATCAAATAGCCAAAAACAAAGAAACTTTTTGAACCATGGTTTTAGTACATCTACCAGACTTTTAGAGGTACTAGTTAATGATACCCACTACCATGACTAATACTCGCGAATTTGTTCAACGCAATGAACTTTACCAACATGGATTCCTCTCTGGATGTGGCCATGTTAATGCACCTAAAGTAATTTGTATACTTGCTGACAAAAGGACTTCAGCTGGTCATAAGACAGCTCTGGTTTTGACTAGTGCCATTGCTTTTAGGAAGACACAGATGTTTACTATAAGACTAATGCATTAAAAGCGTTGCACTCCTTTGGTCACAAGCTCCAGCATGTTGAAGTTGCATAGGCAATTCGTGATCTGGCTAGTCTCACAACATACATCAGAGATGGGTCCAGTATAGTCTAGTGGGGTCTGAGTCAGTCATTTGATTCCATGATGTGATCTATGAGGTCTAGATACAAGTATGCTCCAATGGTTATGATTTCATAACCACCCATCACTGAGAAGCTGATCTCCATGCCAGGTATGCCTATTGAATGGGTTGCCCAAGTTTAAACGACCTCGTGGTTTGTGCTCCAGCACATACTATTCCTATTGAAACGCCCACGGACGGCGTCTTGTTCCTACCTACAGAGGGACTCTGCAGCATATATGCCTCTAATGCGCATGTTGCACAGGTAAGCAAAATGCGACTATGTTATCCCTGCATGCGGAGGGCAAACGTTTACTTCTGACTAAATCCACAATAACCCTGAGTGGGTATAATATTAATTATCTGCTAGGAATATCAACACCATCTGATATTATGCGCGCTGTAATATTATAAAGCTGATAAAATTAACGTCCTCTGACATTACGTGTGATGTAATATAATGAAGGATTAACCTCTTCTAATATCTTCCTTGGGATACCAATCTCGATCATTGATTTTGGCTTTGAATATTATCACTTTAATAATATTAGCGCTCAGATAATATGACATTAAGTAATATATTCTGGTCTTATAAACTTCCCTTGGCCCTGATGCTAAACGAGCGTAGCATTTCTCACTCTGCAGGAACTTAGAAAGGCTCGAATACATATAATGTGCCTTTTGGAAGACCCTCGTCAGAGACCGCTCTCTGGGGCTCCTTCGGTCCCTGAGCACTCTTTGTCCCCGAGCACTCTTACTCCCTGAGCATTCCTGGCTCGCTAGGTCTACGTAACAGCGCTTCTACATCGAGAGTCTCTACATCGAGTCTCTACATCGTCTCTACATCGACAGCCTCTGGTGCTTTGCTTTTTTTGAAAGCGACGAGATAGATGTAACGGATTTAGCAGGACTCTGGGCAGTAGGTCAGGATCAGATACTAATGCTTGCTGGCCCGAAGAGTACGCATGCCCGTGATATAGCAAGGCCAGTGGATAACATCTTACAACATATCAGCCCTTTTCCATACGTAGCAAGGTTGTCATGGGCAGTTCTGCGGCTGTTCGGCTGCGCGGCAGACTTCATTTCGGCATTTACTGCAATGGCCTCCATGGCGAACGCCGCTTCTGGCCCGAGCGAACGAGAAGCCATATCGGAGGCCGACTGGCTTGCCGCTGAAAAAGGAGAGACACCTCTCCCGGAGGTGGCCCCCGTATCCGATCGCCCCTTGTTCCGGTGCTTCCTGGAAACCGCCTTCGATTACCTTCCCGAACAACACCGTAGAGAATACTTGCACAAGGTCCTCCTGCCACTTTTGGAAGAATCGGCTCGGCAGCACACTCGCTGGATACGGTGTTTCCTATCGCAGGTTCACCTTACTCCCGACGAAGACAACGCCATCACGTCCCTCGGTAAGGGCTGGACCTTTGACCCATGCGCCCTCCACTCCCTCTTCGATAAATGGAGATGGTGCCTCCCAAAATCCTACCTCCACCAACACAGGTGCTGGGCACTCGCTTACCTGCACTACCCTCATGTGGAAGCAATAAACCAGAAGCTTTCTGCGAAGAATAAGGGTTGGCGGGGCAGTACGGAGGGAAAGCACTGGCTCACGCTGCAGTCGCACTTGCGCAGCTGTGGGCCCTTTGCCGCAATAGGTGGCAGTATTGCTACTGGTGTACAATCGCAGGCGGAGGACGACATAACGGTCCCCGATCTCGTGGAGGAGTACGTTTGTCGCGCGGGGATAGTGAGTCGGCATCCGTTGAGTTTCGATAAGGACCTCAACCGGTTTGTGGTCTCGACAGAGACGAGTTTGGAGTCATTGACGACCTTGAAGGGAGAGATGAGGTATGTATCTGACCCTGGGCGGTATGACTTGCTGCAGGGGGTTATGGAGCGGATTGTCGCGAATATCGAGTCGCTGAGGACGGCAAAGTGGATGGAGGATCCATACAGGTCGCCTGCTGTCCTGCCGTCGAGGTTGCAGATGGACATGCTGCTTCTCCCGTCGCCAGACCGCAATCCTCGCGCAAAGAACCCGGCAATGGAGTTCGGGAGAAGACTTATGGTCCTACCGGAGAAGTTCGCGGACGATCCTTTGTTGCTGGTCGAGTTTGACGCTGTCAAGGAGGAGGTGAGCGATGTGGAAGAAAGGGATCTGGCCTCTTTTGCTCTTCTATGGGAGTGATGTCGAGGAAGACAAGCAACCATTGTATCTGCGCTTGAATATAGACGTCGCCTGGCGCGCTTTGGAGAGGATCAAGTCAGAGGACTTGCGCCAGAATGAGCAGTTGATGGCGATGGTCCGCAGGTAGAAGGCGAGCCGAGCCACAGTGAGTGGGTGAGACAGGTGGGATGGAATTTTGACGGAACTTTCTGAGAACATGCTGCACTGGAGATATGATTACCGCTATCGATATCAGCACCAGGGAGACGTTATCCACGATTCTATCGACACAGCATAAATTCTCAGCGGACAACGTAGAATCCATTCATGGTAATCTGTCGGTCTCGCATCTCTGCTGTAGGAGATCTCACTCCCAGCCAATGCAGTGGGACACTTTCAACAATTTTCTGGCCACGTGCCCGCATGCTTTCAACTCCCTCTTTGGTGCGGTCAATAACTCCGGATCCTCTTCGACTGTCCGGTCCCCAAGCTGGATAATCCAGCACATTCTGGGCGTATGCCGCGTCGCAGGCATCCGCCAACATGGCCGCTTCAGCAGCAGCATTTCGGGCTTCCAGCAATTCCTCCTCACTCGTCCCGCGCGGTGGCGGCATATCAGGTCGAAGAAAACCAAGGACACGTACCTCGACGCGGGATTGAGCGGGGAGTTCGACCTCCTCGAGGAAGCGAAGGGTGGTGGCTCGTTGCACCACCAGGGACATGTTGACACGCGCCTGCTGAGAGGGATCCAGGTTGCGGATGGCAAGGATGGCCTGATACCATTGAGAACCCGATGATTCCCTATCCTCTTTGTCGGATAGAAGTCGTGCCCAGCCGAAAAAAAAGCCATGTAACCGGTCCAAAATCAGATCGGGGACCTTACTGAGTCGCATCCGTTGCATGTCATAGACCCCTTCCACTTGAATGGCTTCAGCCCGCGCCTTGAAGCTCATCGGGTATGGCGGACTCGGTCCTGTCTCTAAAGAGATCGCTTCCGGTTGACCACAGGCCATTGCTGCCGCAGGGTCCTGGTTACTGTTGCCATCGCTTGATCGCATGGACATGCCCATCCCGTAGGCTGTTTCAGCAGCAGTCTGTGTGACCCAGGAGGGCTTAAGAGGTTGAATTTTCGATTGTACGAGCGAAGTGGCCGGGCTAATGACGGTCTGCGCCGCTGTCTGCGCGTATAGCCCCAGCACCATCGCACCCACCTCCAACGGGAGGGTAGCCAAACTAGCGCCTCGAATCGAGCTCGGTTCAAGCGAGGTGGAAAGAATGCGAAACACTGGACTCGTACAAAGAACCTTCTTTTTCGGTCCCTGGCATAGTACCACCTGAAAGTACCCATCGCCGGCCTCAGCAGGGATCCGTGCGACAGCCGTCTCGCGCAGGCGATGCGTGTCGCGCACACGCGACGGAGCCTTTTTCAGAAACTTGGCAATGTCACGCTGCCATGCCCGCTCGTCGGTTGGCTCTACTTGGTCCGAGCGCAAGGCCAGAGTGGGTGAGATGTCTAGCCAGTCGTCTGTCAGTCGGAATAGAGCCTTGGCGCGCATCCCCGTTTTTCCTGTCCAGCCCTTGTTCTGGAGCCATAAGGAACGGTCGGGAGGTAGAGGGGTGTCAGAGAAGATAGAGATCGTGACAGATGTAGTACTGCCACGATAAAAGACTACGCCGTGTGAGTGGCGTAATATGGTAAAATGCTTATTGGACTCTGCAGGACGGCTGATGAGTCCACCCAGAAAATGTCGGGCTTCACCAAAGGCTTTTTGGACAGTTACTGAAGCGGACGACTGAGTGATTCTGGATCCCGACGCAGGCATCATGTCCGTTGCAGCGCGCTGGACTGAGGTGGAAGCCCAACCATCGCTGTTGAAGTTCCTCTCGCAGTGACCAGAATAGGGGTCAGCAATAGTGTTAGCGGATGCTTTGGACCTCAACGGTGGGCGCGGAAGCACTGGAGTCGAAATATCCGACGACAGGACCGTCGTTACACCCCTGACAGGCGGACTGGGCGGTTGTGATGAACATCTGTCACCATCATTCCTATAGCTTTGATGGAGATGGGGATTGGAGACTGGTTTTCGTCGAATCCGGAACTGAGGATCCGGTGGATGGAGAAATAACTCATCAGTGGGAGTCATTGTTTAGTATACAGCGATGTAGTAGTTAATCCCGACAAAGAAGCAAAATCATGTTGGCTGACTGATGAATGTTTGGATAATGTAGTCCTGTTGAATGATTTGGTGAAGATCAAAGTGGATGATGCCAGTTGGATAAGGAAGTGCACCGGATTGGATAATTATTGCTTACTAAGCTAGAATTGTGTGCATAACCCTATTTGTCCAGAGGGACGAGTCGTGAAACTCGTGATATGATACAATTTCCTTTTTGAGCTCCCTTTGTCCACTCCAAGTCTCCAGTTCCTACTGTTTGCCTATTCGGGCACATACAACTGCAGGTCATCTAAAGGCATAAACGTCTCACTGGGACCTTTTTGCCTATGTCACTACCTCTGACGAGTTCACTAGGTATTTTATCCATACGGCCATATCATTTCACGTAGACATAGGTTGATACATGGACGTCTCCTCCAGAAAGCGAGCTATGCAGCAATACTTTTATCTCATGTAGATTGTCAGATCCCCGAGACAATCGTCCATATCAACCACCGGAGCATGCACATAATGACTGACCATCTTGCGTACGCGCGAAGAGTCCGGATCAGTGGTGTAGGGGCTGGAGCTGTCAGTCTTTGTGCATTAAGCGGAAAGTGCGGTGAACATACCAAACCCAGGTTACCTGACCATTCCTCACACGCTGTTCCCACTTTGCGACATCCGGCTCGGAAGGTCTGACAGTGTTCCAAATCATCGCCGCGGGCCACTGAACATCGGCAATGATCTGCTTCACGGGCACATTGGGGCTGACGCAGAAGACAAGGGTTGATTCGTCGACTGCAAGAAACCCCTTTGGATCGTCCAGCGGGGTGATACCGATGCTTCTAAGCAGTGCAATGTCGACCTCGTCGTATGCAGGATCCTGCGCAAAGCATCTGATTTCCTCGTTCCTATTGCCTTGTCTTGCCTTCAGCGCTTGCACCATGGTTTCAACGGCAGCATGCTGGGTGTGAGAGCGTGCGGCGCTGCGGGAGTTCAAGCGGCTCAAGGTGCCTAGTGCAAAGCAGACAATCTTGGTGATCGGACGGGAGAGGCTCAGAGTGGTCAGTTGCTTCTGCAGAGCCTCGCAGGCCTCACTAGTCTGCCACACTTCGCGCTGATTGTCGAATGCCTTGCGTACTTCATGCAGAGGATTCTCGGGTTTCTTGTCATTTCTGGTGTAGCAGATCGCAACGGGAGGTTGGTCACGAAGGATCTCATCTGGCATGAAAGGGTTGACGGTGGTCATAGCTTGGATGCTACAGTAGGAGATGCGGTACGAATTCCTGGGACTCTGTCAGTATTTGCTCTAGTTTAGGACGATTAGCAGATCTTACGCCCAATCTGCACACCAGGTCGGAACCTTGAGGCTGTGCTTCTGAGGAACGCCATCCAAATCTGCAATATGCACCTCATCACGTCCCTGATCGATCTGACGACTCAGGTCTTGAAGAACGTCGCGAGGAAAGAGAGGCTGTCCCAAGGCATACACCCTGAGAATATGGCGAATCTTCTCTTCTGCGGTGATCCGCTGTTCTTCCTCCATTGCCATAGTGCTGGTTAATGAGGACATAGTGGATGAGAGAAGAGAAAATTCTCTACGTCAGGTGTGTTTACTTGTTGAGAGGGCGGTGGGAACAATTGCTCTGACCGTGAATATTCTTAGTCTTCAGTCACTGTTCTGAAGTACAAGCGAGAGTAGCTGGTCTGGTTGCCTGAGACTCATTTAAATAACCAAACTGTTGATGCACAAAGGCATAGTGTGGAAGCTTTATCGGCTGGAGCTCAAAAATAGCCATATCCCTTGATGTTGGATCGACCAGAACACCCTCCATCAGATGTTTGCTCCTCACTGTTTTCTCACTATCTGGGCTACACAAGGCCATTACTCGCATGGGCCTCACCGCCATCGTGGATTCATCATCCAGGCTGTGTACTCTGGTTCCAACAGGCTAATCATGTCACAGCAGCCTCATTGGTCCGGTATCTGAAGACCATCCTATTAATATCCGAAACCGTGTCATTTACCTGGCAGAAAACCAACTAAACTACTATATTGAGTAATATTAGGGATATTTTTATCCCAATAAGCTAACTGTTGGTTGGTTTCATGCAAATTAACGGTGATTTTGTCGATCGTCCTTTTGCCCTTTTCGTATACATCGGGCGGGATGCACGCTAATCCTTCATGCATGTCATATCCACGACTTGCCAAAGCCTCCATAAACACCGACGACTTCCAACAAATCCTCCTCATCCGATTGGACTTTTCTTTCATCTTTTAGGGGCCAAATGAAGCCCTCTTTGCATATCAACAGCCAGGGTAATAGCAGCTGGACCATCCTCCGACGTGGCGACCCGATGAGTTGGCAGCGAACATGTGGTGAAGTACCTCGGCGATTTTGGCTACACGCCAACACATTTTGAGTTTCATTGGCCTTGTCAATCTTTTCGTCCCCTGCATATGACATGACAGCCCGTGTCATTTGCTGATGAATATTGGACTGCGTGACTGAGGGATTGGGGACGTTTCTTCCTCTACGCGTGCTTCGTAGTATGTGTGTGCCTTGTCATCGCCCCGGAAACGCTTCATTGTCCAGTTGCCTGGGACTTGCTCACTTGGGTGTCTATAGGGCTTTGACAATACCTTTAGAAGATAAGGATTAAGGCTGCTCATGACTCGTTTCTTTCGGTACAAATCTCTATCCACGAGTCAGGCAATTCCCCTTAGAGCAGCGTGCCTGCAATTACGTTCCAACAACGGCAGAGATTCCGCTCCATGTCTCGCGGCATCGGGTTCTGGGCTTATCCAAGTGTCCGGGAACCAGTACCAATTAAAGATACTCTAGGCACCTGGCACTATGGTCTTGCTTGTATGTGTTGGGACAATCAAGTCGAAGTGCTCTCCCTCGAATGTTATACACGTCGCACAATGCGAGTCCAGCCGTTTCTTACATTACTGTAAATTCGCTAGTACTATAATGAGTCATCGAAGTATATATGGAACCCATGCCGTTAGTGTGAAATGAGCACGTCTAGGCTTGAAGATCTCTACATTCGTGGGAACAGGGCATCAGAGCGCGGCGATTACTACTGACTTCGAAGACCAGAGTCAGATTCCCAGTCAATATAAGGACAAGTGACAGTCGTAGTCGATTTCCCTTGGGCTAAATATGGTTTAGCGAGTCGTCTGAGACCTGTCATTATGGCAGTTCAAACTGTAACCGTAACCAAGCTTATTGTTTAGATGAGCGTAGGGTGGGAATAATCTGCCTCTGGTGTCACAGTCACTTCCGAGAGTATAAACTGTCCAGTCTTCCTTTCATTTCTTCCCAAATCTCCAACTGTCTCCTTTACCTCAACTTTATTTCAAGTCTGAAATACCAGCCTTGGTCCACCAAAAGTCACACTCTCTTCGACTCCATTCGTCCTCCACCAACTGCGCCACAACACCCGTACCACTCCCACCAGCACGTTCATCATTCCCATCTCCAAAGACCATAATCTTGCGTCCAGATGTCATTGTAGCGTCGTAAGGCTTCCACACGGTGCGATTCTCATACCGTCCTCCCATCGCATTCGGATCCCCAGTCACAATAAACGAAGTAATGTACGCATGAAACGTCCCCGCGATTTCCTCCTGACTGCTCGAGATCCCTCGCACCTCTGGATTAAACGTCTCATACGCCATCTGATCACCGTGGTTCGCACCCCCCTGAACCGTCTTATTCAGCGCCCACCGATACAGAAACACGGGCTCCTCCTGTCCCGCCGAGGCGAGAGTCGCGGTCTGCCTCACCGGGCAGGCATACGCGTAATGACCATACGCGGCTTCGATGCGCTTATACTGCGGACCAACAGGTATGCTTCTAGTTTCGAGATATGGGGAGGACGGATACACCGCAGGGTCTGGGTAGAGCTCGTCGATTGTTTTGATGTCCTCGTCGGAGTAGGCGGGGAGCAAGGTGCGAAAGAAGTTTGTGAATTCGGAGGATTGCGACACCGCGGACGGGACGTAGTATGTTCCTTCGTTTGTGTTGAAGCCGGTCAGGATGGGCATTTTGTTCCATTTCCCCGAGCGCCAAGCGTCGATTGGGCGGCGCTTGATCAGGTCGCCGTCAATGACGGGTTGGAAGGCCCAGCGGATGGAGGGGTTGTATCGGTCGAAGATGGTGAAGGAGGCGTTGATAATAATTGCGGATTGTTGACTGCGCAGGCAGTCCATTATGTCCGATTGGGGACTGTCGTTGCAGCCAGCTTCTGAGGTGAATTCTTGGAATTGGGTTTCGTGTAGTTGGGCGTTGTATGGGTGCACGGCGCGGGAGGTTGCTGCGCCAGATTCGAGGACGGCTCGGTGGAAGAGAGAGGTGCCGAGATCATAGTTCATGATATGGTGTGCGATCTACGCTGATATCAGTGTTGGTCTTCCGAATATCCCCTGAGGCAACGTACTGAGTGTGCTCCTGCGGACAAGCCGATGAGCGTCACTTGCGAGGGGTCCCCGCCAAACGCTTCAATGTTCTCCTGCACCCATTTGAAAGCAAGAATCTGATCGTGCAGTCCAAGATTGAGTATGCCTTCCTGAGCTGACACTGTCGAAGGAAGGAAGCCCAGCGCGCCGATACTAGAACGATCCCTCAGCTGAGTCCATTGGGATCACTTGCACGACGACTCACCGATAGTTGAAGCTTACTGCAACGAATGGTTTCTCGGACCATCCCACCATTGATGCAGTGTTATGCATTGAGGCTGTTCTAGTCAGACTTGCCCATGTTTGTTTGCGGGTTACTCACCTGTACCACGGTTATATGCTCCGCCATGCACGTACACTGCAACGGGTAGTTTGCCTTTTGCGCCATGAGGACGAAACACGTTCACCGTCAGGCAATCCTCCGAAGTGGTGGCATCCCCAGGGACTTTCAATAGCTGTTTACCAGGACATCTGCTGGATCAGCAGCCGTCCTGAATTCGATAACGCTCGATACTTACCGTGGACCGAACCGACTCGCGTCAATGGTGTCGTTCGAAGAGCCTATTGCTACGGCTCTGCGGAATCTCCTGTCTCCAGTCGGAGGCAGAGCATAAGGAATTCCTCGGAATGCATCAACTGGTTGTCGCAAAGTGTCGGGCAATCTCGTTCCTACGACGGTACCTTGGCGAAGTTGGACGGTTGGTCGAGTAATGAGCTTATCAAGTACAGCGTTCGGGAGCCATGCTAGAACTCGGCTCTGTATTGAGAAAGGTACATATCCCTGCTGTAGGATGAAGAGCAGGATGACAGGCAAAGCAGCCAGGAGTATAAGTCTGTGAGAAAGAAACATGTTGTCGGCAGTCCACCTCAGAATTCAAGGCAGATGATCACTTCAATATCAACCCCTTATCGATTCAGCAGCGCAACTGCTACGACATCTCTGTCAACCTTTTCGCTCTCCACTTCCCCGCTTTGATGCTGATAGTGAGGCCCACGATGCTCGACTCCTCACCAGAAGATGCCTCCACTGTGGAACTACCCCACACGGCTTATCTTTGACAGCATTATTAGCGTCTCCAACAGCGGTCATGATACGAGGCCGATCAGTGGGGTTATCTTTGCTTTCTTTCAAGACTTTGATGGCATAGATAAAGTTGCGGACAACGTCCGTCTTTGTCTACCAGCAAGTCTTCTGCATCCTGTATATCGGTATCAGGCGGTACTGCGGACTATGGCCGACTAGATTTCCATTTCAGGTATCAATACGCCGAAGCTGATAGAGTTATCACTGGATGCTTTCGGCAGGGACCTGGAGCTTAGAGACAGGCGTTATCATGCAGGGAACCCCTGTACTCCGAAGCGGGGTTACTTGATATAAGTACGGAAGACACAGCGGACAGCTACCGAGACTCAGACCGCTGTAGAGAATATCGGATATCATCAAAATGCTGCTCGAGGAGAAGAAAACTGACGAGGGCAAGACCGACACCATGCTCGCAACCGTATCCGGCAAGGAGGATGACATAGAGAATGGCCACGTCTCTTCGCTGGACGAAGCCGAACTTTTTCTGCGAGAGCATGGCATTTCACACTCCCAGCTTCAGGAGATGCTCGATGACCCCGCCAAATCTCGGAGAATTAGAAGACGAGTTGATATGATCCTTCTGCCTCTTCTCTGCGGTACATATGCTCTGCAATATATCGATAAGCAGGTGAGTATTCTGTACGCGATCGAAAGAAACTATTTACTAAATGGTATAGGCTCTCGGCTACAGTGCAGTTTTCGATCTTTTTAAAGATGCCCACATCAACAGTGATGAGTATAGCTGGCTCGCCAGCATTTTCTACTTTGGTAAACTTCCTCTTCCTCAACGGTCACCCTCAGGCTGATAATACAGGTTACCTCTTCTGGGAGTATCCTGCGAATTTGATTGCGCAGCGACTTCCTGTCGGAACGGTCATCTCATGCTTTGTGTAGGCTTGTTTTATGCATGTCACTTGTCTATTTGGAGCACTGACATTTGCTAGTATCGCTTGGGGAGCCATTCTCATGATAACGGCCGCCTGCAACAATTTCACCGGCATGGCGATCTGCCGCTTTCTCCTCGGTTGCTTTGAAGGTATTACAATTCGTAAGCCCGGCCTGCAATAGCTAACGTCTTAGCCCCGATTACGCCCTGCTTCATGATGATTATTGCCATGTGGTATCTGCGGCAGGAACAGCCCTTCCGGGCTGGATGTTTCTATTGCTGCAATGGCATTGGATCAATGGTGGGCAGCTCTACCTGGACAGCTTCTATAGCATATCTGACAGCCTCAAGCTCGGTGGCCTGATAAGCTTCGCTATTGGCCAGCTAAATGGATTTCCTGTCTGGAGAGCAGTGTTCCTCATCTGCGGCGGCGTGACAGTGCTCTGGGGAGGCATTTTATTGCTTTTCCTTCCAAACAGCATTCTCTCCGCGAAGCGATTCACGATCGAAGAAAAGATACTGCTTATTGGAAGAGGAAAGCAGAACCAGACGGTGTGCCACTTGCCTCAATGTGCGATGCACAGAGTCTGTTAACGGATGTTTCCAGGGCATTCTCAACCGCTCGATAAAGTGGTATCAGGTCCGAGAGGCTCTCATCGACCCCCAAGTCTGGCTCGCGTTCCTTTTCGTCCTGCTCAATGAGACCTGCAACGGAGGTGTGGCCAATGTACGTCTCCCTTCTACCTACCGAGATCTCTACTCATTGCCTGCAGTTCGGCAAACTCATCATCAAAGGCCTGGTCTCTAGTCCTCTCCTGGCAACAGCCCTAGGCATCCCACAAGGAGCCTTCCAGGTCTTCTTCATCCTTTCAGGAACCTACCTCTCCTCGCGATTCAAGAACATCCGCACAATCATCATGGTCATCTACCTCCTCCCCACCGTGATAGGCGTGTGTCTACTGTGGCAGCTACCCAGAACCAATCGCTACGGAGTCCTCTTCGGCTACTACATCGTACGTCAATGACCCCTTTTTGGTCCGGAGGGTACTAACCAACTAGATCGGATCATACGTCACATCCGTCGTCCTCTGCCTCCAAATGCCCTCGAGCAACACAGGAGGCTACACCAAACGAGTTACCGCAACCGCCCTCGTTTTCCTCGCATACTGCGTGGGAAACATCGTCGGCCCGCACGCCTTTCTGGCGAAAGAAGCACCCGTCTACGAGACCGGGTGCAAGCTCATTCTGGCGTGTGTGTTGGGTCAGATGGCGTGCACGGTAGCCTTGCGGGTGTTGCTGATCAGACGGAATAAGCGACGAGATGCTGAGGGCGTGGTCGGGCCACAGGGAGACGCAGATGAGCAGGTTCTGGCGGATTTGACGGATTTCGAGGTATGTGTGTTGCTTGTGCCTGCGGTGCAGTTGCTGATGGTGGTAGAACCCTCGTTTTCGATATGTTTTGTAGGCTCGGACAGGACGGAGTGGGATAGGTTATTTCGAAATTCTTCAGCCTTTAGAAAATGATTTGGGGTTTGCTGCTCGGCTGTTGCGGTTGGGTACATCTTACTCCAAAGAAGCGAGATCATATTCTAAATGACTATATCCCACGTCTGTATCTATTAGCCGCGCATTAATAGGCCGTAGCGGCAGCCTAACCATTCTCCCTGTGGGAATGGTCGGCTCAAATGAGTCAACTCAATCATGCCAACCCTTACTAGTCACCCAGCCTCGCCATCATCACTCAACAGCAACCTTCTTGATATAAAGTAGCTTACCTTCTTCACCTCAGTGTACAACCGACTGAACAAACCGAAATGCACATCCTCGCAGCCGACAACAAGTACGTCCTACCACAAGAGCAATTCAATCAACAGGCGCTGGTGTTGGTGTTGGTGTTGGTGCTGGAGGAGTTGGGTTTCGGTCTGCTTTAGGGCCAATGTATTCAGGGACTAGGACTTTGCTGACTTTAGCCTCAGGCATGTGAATACTGATTGCTTTGATATGGTGCACTGTATGATGACAACAAAGACAAGATATGGAAACAGACATGCGCCAAACTCTGCAGATTGTCCCTCCAATAAACTCCATACTCCATACCGCAGATGCGAGCCGGGACTGACTACCGGACATACTCGACCACAAGCTCGCTATCGCTCACAATAGTCGTGTGCGTCTTAATCTTCCCATCCTGCTCCATATCAATGACCGTCGCATTGGTAAGCCCATACGACTGCCCGCCAGCTTTCGCCTTGCAGCCGGTGAACTCCACACGTCCAAAATCAGCGAGCGGCACCATCGTCTCCCCAGACTGGAAGTCCTCGACGATCCAGTCCGCATTCTGGCCCGCCAGGGTCGCAGTCGGCGACGGCGCCTTCAGCGTCGTCGACACCGTCTGCCCACTTGACTGGTTCTCGATGATGGCGACGCCCTCACTGGGCGACGTGCTCTCCACCTTGACGACGACGACGTCCCCGCGGTTGACCACGAGGTCGAACCCGTGCGCGTTGTCCGGGTACCACTCGTACCACGCGTCGTAGCTGTGCGCCCCGTTGGAGTCGACGTAGAAGTCCACGCCGGCTTGCAGTATCGCGTTCGCGTACGTGTCGCCATCGATGCCCACCCAGGCGGAGCTGGCTTGTGTGCCTGTCACGCCGGCGACTGCCGTCGCTTCGGGGACGGTGATGGTCGCGGCCACGGCGGTGTAGGTTGCCGAGGGGGGCGGCTGCTCGAGGACCGCGCCGGACCAGTTCTTGCTGTAGGAGACTTTGGAGTCGGTGGTTCGGTGCTCTGCGTTGGGGTCTGCTTCAGCAGGGCTAGCTCCGGTGCCGTCCATGGGGTGGGACTGCCGGGCTAGAGCCCGGGCGCGGATACGCTCAAGGGACCGGCTGCTGGGGGCAGACAGGGCACTGCCGGCCAGCAGGGTCGCGGCGAGGATGCTGGTTTGGAACTTCATGTCGTAGGTGGGCAAGTTGATGGTCACTCAATGGGGCTGACAATGCGCTTTCCTGTCGTAGTCTGCGAGTGTGGCTTGCTGGCTCTTTAATACCCTGGAGAAAAGAGTCGCATGCGGTTGGGCCTGTCCAGCAGGTCGAAAGTAACCTCATGGTTATCATCAGATTCTTGCCAAACTGATCTGAAGAGTACCCGCAAGCATTCCGACGCTACTACCAAGTGATCATGTCACGGACGGAATCAAGTATGATCGACTATCAGGACGGAATAAGACTTCAGAATCAAGACCTGCTTATCCGCGTGCGTCACTGGCAACGAATCACACTGGATCAGCGCTGCATGTCCGCTCAGAGTAAACAGTCAATAGTTTCTGTGATCCATGCCGAGTCGCGTCGTTTCCCGTCAGCATTCTGCCCACTCTAGGGACGTTGTATACACGATCAGGCGGACGACGATCAGGAGAAAACAGTCAGTAGACTTCATGCGCGACAATGCAAATAATGACGCCATTCAAGTGCCTGTGCCTTGTGACAGTCCACGTAACTGACGAGAGAATCAGGTACCAAACTCGCTGAAAGCGGGTTGGCCGCATTCCTCCCGCCGCAAGGGGTATTCGCAACTGCAAACATTGAAGCATGCCTTTCCCGGCTGATACCGTCCTGCGGACTCTGTATCAGACATCCCTAGTTGAAGAATGTGAGATGCGTATCGCATGGCCGACCGGAAGCGTCGCACCAATGAACCCTTGACCCGAGCAAGGACAGACTTGCGTCCAGGCCGATGATATTCCACTTTCGCCAGTTTAAAGTTGGCTCTCGTGACGGGATGACGTCTTGGTACTTGCTTTGATGCTTGACTGAAGCTAGCTGATGTAGAGTTTCTTTGCAGCTGTGACATGATCAGTAGCGGTCATCATGAGTCCGACATAGGCATCAGGGATGTTCCAAAACATTCATCGAGATGGCCTGGATGATAGTCAAATAATGCAGTAAAAAAAATTAGCAAAAATTGGCTAATTCAGTCGTCAAGCCGCAGTATAATAACTAACTGTATATGCTAGTCTAATGCTTCCAAGTCTATCAAAAACGACCAAACTTACCACAACCCTGCCATCGAACCCAGAACCATTCACATCCCTGGAATTCTATACCGAAAAAAATTCACATAGGAAGACGCGCCATCTCCTGTAAACTCCAATACCGCCGCATATTCTCCGCCCCCAGCGTCCTGACCTCCTCATCCAAATGCTGCCACAGCACATCCCCAAACCCGTCCATAAGCCGCTTCACCTCCTCCCGCTGCAGATCCACCTCGCCGCTCCGACACTTCGTCAAATAATCCTCCAGCTTCTCCAGACCCTTATGGATCTGCCTATGCTGCGAGAGGAGCGCCAGTTCACGCCGGAACTCGGGCATCCGTTTCGCGAGCACGGGGAAGATGTGCTGCTCTTCGATGGAGTGGTGGAAGTCGAGCTGCGAGCAGAAGCTGAGCCCGGCCATGATGAGTTGGCGCGGGGAGAGACCGCTGGACTTTTTGCCGGTGCTGGTGCAGGCGTCTTGCAGTTGGTTCCAGGTTAGGCGGAAGTGGTTGTGCTATGGTTGCTGTTAGTGGGTGTAAAAACGGAATAAGGGGGAAAAGCGCGTACAAATTGGTCCATTTGCTCTGCCATTCGGTTGTAAGTTCGAAAGTCTTTCGGTGAGAGCGGGGGTAGAGGTTCATTGTTTCCCTTTGCTTGACCGGTGGGGTCTGGGGATGCTTGACTATTCTTCTGGCTCATTCTTGAGAATGATTGGTACCGGGTTGCTGAAAGGGGAATTGTTCTGTGAACAACAGGTGGAACTGCGCGTAGGCGGAGAAAGGATGGGCTCTGGGTGACTCGAAGCCTTCTCATTGAAGTTAAAGGAGCTAATGAGTGCGTAGCCGAGAAGCATTTGATATATCTCTTTCATGGAATAGAACTTTTCGTCCTGCGCTGTATATCTTAGAGGTGGGGATGGAAGACATCGCTGCGAATCAGAGTCATCGACGAACAAGCAGTGCGCATTACAAATCCCTGACAAATATTCCATTTCATATCGCAGGAAGAATAGGAAAAGGTCCTATGCAGCGTACTACGGTGAAGGCCAGAGCGTCCTGAAAATATCAGATCTTCAACAGCTCAGACTACCACTTTTATACAGAGAACAGACGAGCACCAAGTATCAAGTATCGAAGCGTACATTCAGAATGCTAAACTAGATAATTACAAGAATGTCCCAGATCCTCAATGGATGTTTGCCACCTCAACGTTCAGCAAAACTGAACATTGCAAGACACACATCTAGTACGTCACTGGTCAAAGAGATAAATCTCCACTCAATATCAGCACTTCTTCGGCACAACCACAGTCATGAAAGGGCTGGATTGCAATTTGACATCCGTGCTAGGAAAGGTCGAGGAGACCAACAGGCGAGAACAGCCGTGGGTGGACATGATGGAAAGATGAAGAAAATTAAAGGGTGGTATTAGGTAAAAGTATCTCTGCAAGACTGACGTGGTAAGTAAACAGAAACATAAGTCGTCTGCAGGGTCAGTAAGAATCTGGATATCAAAACAGCTTAAGTGAAGGTCGTAACTCCGTAGTAGTAATACAAGGCTATAGCTCTCGGTCACGCAGATGCTTGGGTGGGCGGAAATTTCCCTTGCGGAGTTCCTGCCACGCAAGATCGAAGCGCGCACCAAAGTACCAAGCGAATCCAATCTGACGGTTGTTAGCAATTGATGGCAATGGCAAGGATCGACAAGCCGTACCATTACAATAGAAACGAAAACCACAATCACGCCCATCAGAGCCATCATAAAGAAGACGTCTTTGCGGGTTTCAGCCTCCAGTCTGGCCTTCTCCTGTTCGGCTTCAGACTTTTGGCCCAAGACACGCCGGTTGGCCTCTTCGGCCGATTGCGATGGGAAGATGGTCTCGATGAATTTTTCAATCTGCGTCCGTTTAGCATTTGGACAAACGGTGATGGATAAAGGAAACCCACCTTCGCACAGGCAATGCCAATCTCGAGGAAATTGGGATCCTTCGGGGTGTTCTTCTTGTGAATCTCACGAGCATATCTACGGAAGGCCTCGTAAAGGATCCGCAGATTCTGCGTCGACTCCATCATCAACTGGCAAGCCTCGCCCTTCTTGATTTTGATGTTACGTTCAAAAATCGCCGGGTTACGGAAGCAAAGGGAAAGGGTAGCAATGGCCATGGACTGAGGGATGGCGCAGAAGTTGAAGACACTCTGCTCGCGCAGACCAGCAAGGTAGAAAAGACACTCCTCCGCATGTCCCAATGCGTTGAGAACCATCTCGGAGCTGCAGTTCAGTGCAGCGTCACGATTCTCCGGCTTGAAGAGATCCTCAAAGTCGGTGACATGCTTGGACCAAATTTCTTTGGGCCAGAACTGTCGACCGTCGTCGAAATCCTCACGGATATCGCGAATGATGTTGGTCTTCTGTAAGAAAAGACCCATGGACTTGTACAACTCGGTACGCTTGAGCAAGGCGGGGTTACCGAACTCGGCCTCAACAAAGAGGCGAGTCGACCCTTCTCCGACCAGGCCAGCAACATACCAGCAATACAGGTCGTATTCCTCGACCGTCTTGACGCTTGCATCGTCCAGCGCAGCTTTGCGACAATAATCAGCCATACCATTGCCCATCCTGTCCGTGATATCCTTGATAACGGCCTTGTAGGCAGGCTTCAATTTCTTGAACTCGGTGATGACATTGTGGAACTGAACCAGCAGTTCACGGTCCTTCTCTTCGGGCCGGTTACCCGTGAAGTTCCAGCCATCCTGCTCGAGGATATCTTTGAATCCACGAAGAAGGGGTTCCTTGGTCTCCAAAGGAATCGAGGTGTCATCCTCGATGGTGTCCAGCCCACGGAGTGTCAGGTAGAAAATGCACATGGGAAGCAAGAGCTCAGGGTGAAGCTCCTTGATCACCGCGCTAAAGCTCCGGCTCGTCAGGTCCAGGAACTTGAAGCATGTCTTCGCTGTTTCTGACTCGTTGGATTCATCACGTTCATGAACAGGATTGTGCCATATCTTCCTATGAGCAAGGACGAAAGGGTGTCCGTAAGCAATGGCACATAGACACTAAGGGCAAGGAGGAGTGCTCATAGTTATAAGGCCAGGACCAACCATTGAAGTATCGACCTCAATTCTGAGGGATGGAAGATGTAGTAAAAAGCATTTGCTGCAGCGCCCATGGTGAGGTATTTGTAGGGAAGAAGAGGACACGGAAAAGGAGAGGACGGAACGACGGATGTTGGCGAGAGAGAAAAAAAATAGTGGGAATGTGGGGACCACAACAAGCGAATCAAGAAGAGCTATTGACACAATTAAGATGTACAACCGGGAGAAGCGAGGAAAGAAGAGATAGATGATAGATCTCACGGAGAAGGAAGGTGGAGAGGAGAGCGAGACCTAGGAGGGAGTAAACAGAGAAGAAGAAAAGATGGGAGATTATTACTCCAAATATCGAAAAGGGGAACAAAAGAGTCTCGGGGCATAAGGTATAATAATATGCACAGAGTGGCTGAGGGCCTGAGGTTGTCAAGGGGAAATTCGAGGGAAAAGAGAGAGTCTTGGCGTCCGTGCATAACAGGCTCCTATCATTACGCCTGTATACGCCCCTCGGGGTCCAGCTTAGTATTGTTTTCCCATTATTTACCCCACTGCATGGTGTGGCTGGTGGTAATTGTGACAGTACCTTACATATAATACGCCGACAGATGTTTCCCCCGCCATGACGAAACTGCTGTCGGAGAGCATCATCAGGCAGATAAAAATTATTATTGTCCTCGGTCAGCCGACTAGTCTGGCAGCTTACCATCTGCTCTCCCCCTGATTTTCTCAAGGACTTCTCATCACCTGGGGTCTTGCGGACGAACGTATTACATTTCTGCGTTGATTGACTCCAAGTCAGCATGGTCGCAGACACTACCTACTACGATGCTTTGGGTGTGCCACCCACGGCCACAGAACTTGAGATTAAGAAGGCCTATCGGAAACTGGCCATTGTGACCCATCCTGGTGCGATTACTCCTATGTCTGCATGACTCCTTGCTATTGATTCTGACTTCTCGACTAGATAAGAACCCCGGCGATGAGAGTGCGCATGCGCGATTTCAGGCGGTGTGTATACTTCAATATATGGAAGTGTAATAAATGCTAATTTCTCTCGGTACAATCAGATTGGAGAAGCCTACCAAGTTCTCAGCAATGAGGAGCTACGAAAGCGTTATGATAAATATGGAAAGGAAGAATCAGTTCCGGGCGGCGGTTTCGGTGAGTTGTTCAGCTGTGATCGAGCTGTCGAACCATACTGATAGGCGACGTAGAGGACCCGGCCGAATTTTTCAGCATGATCTTTGGTGGCAGCGCGTTTGTCGATCTGATTGGTGAAATCTCGTTGATGAAGGACCTGACCGCGACCATGGACATCACCATGCAGGAAATGGAGGAGGAAGAACTGGCGGAAGCCGCCGAAGAGAAACTCCATATTCACGATGAGGAGGTCAAGGCCGCCGCCGCGACAGGGGAAGCCAGCCATGCCGCTGGCACCGCAGCCCCAGCCCCAGGACCAGCACCAGCTGCAGCCGCAGCCGCGGAACCTTCGGAGAAGCCGGCGCCAACCTCCGGATCGAGTACGCCCCGTCGCTACTTGGGACAACAGGCTATCATGGACAAGTCGGAAGAGGAGGCTCGGATGGAGGCAGCCGGTCTGTCTCAGGAGGAGAAGGAACTGCGCAAGAAGGAGAAAAAGAAGGGTTTGTCTCGGGAACAGCAAGAGCGCCTGGCTGCTTACGAACTGGAGCGAAAGAAGGCTCGTGAGGAGCGGGTCAACACTCTGGCGACCAAGTTGGTCGACAAGCTAAGCGTGTGGACGGAAACCGACAAGGGTCCCGACGTAACCCGTGCCTTTGAGGAGAAGATTCGCCTTGAGGTGGAAAACCTGAAGATGGAATCGTTCGGTCTGGAGATTCTGCATGCCATTGGTGCTACCTACACATCAAAAGCTACCTCGTTCATCAAGTCTCAAAAGTTCCTCGGTATCTCCGGTTTCTTCTCTCGGCTGAAGGACAAGGGCACTCTGGCCAAGGAGACCTGGACTACAATCTCGACAGCTATCGATGCGCAGATGACCATGGAGGAGATGGCCAAGCTGGAAGAGAAGGGCGGAGAGGACTGGACCGACGAGAAGAAGGCAGAGTACGAGAAGAAGGTCACCGGCAAGATTCTGGCGGCCGCATGGCGAGGCAGCAAGTTTGAGATTCAGAGCGTGCTGCGCGACGTCTGTGATCAAGTCCTGGGTGACAAGCGCATCAAATTAGAGAAGCGTCTTGAGCGCGCGCACGCCTTGGTTATTGCCGGCAATATCTATTCAAAGGTAAGCTCTTCCCGTTCGACCGTAATCATGTCACAGATCGCTAAGTGAAACTATAGGCAGAGCGTGATCCCGAGGAAGAAGGAGACTACATGGCCTTTGAGCAGCTCATGGCGGAAGCCATGTCGAAGAAGGGCAAAGACGAGAAGAAAAAGAAGAAGGAAAAGTCGAAGAATGAGCATCACCACCACGAAGAAGAAACCACCGCATAGATACCTAGTCCTGTTTATATCCTTGCCATGAGGCCCGTTCTGCTGAGCTTGTGGATTACCGCTGTCTATTTACTCTCCTCTATTCGATTCTGTCCTTCGGGTGCTTGGATACGTGCCTTTACGCCGTCATGACCCGCTCAGGACTTTACATATTTCACGTACAGTATATTAAATTTAATGATAGATTGGGTGTTGACGGCGAATTGTTACATTAGACGTCTGCTGGCCGCTAGATCGAGCGACAATTATATATATCGCATAGACTCGAGATAACATCTATTGATTATCGTCTACATCTCTTGAAGTAGAATTGCTATCTGTTGATCGGAAACAGAATCCCGTACGATCTTTGACGCGGCTATAGTAAGAAAGGCCCCAATAATGTCAAGTCCTGACAATCCTGTGTGGCTTTTCGACGGCTGAGACTCGTTTCCCCCCGTTTTCGGCTCCTCCTGGTCTCCGGCTGTCATCATTCCACCGCACAGAAGATCAGTACCAGCTGCTTACAATTCGAAGCCTGACCCTCATCTAAGAAGAACCTTCTTGGCAACGGTGTATTTCGGCTTGAGATCCTGTTTTTGAAGCAGGAATCATGCCACTTCCCAGCCTTCATTTGCGGAGACATGAGCACGCGAGCAATTACCCAAATAAGCCAAGGCCTATCCGTTACGAATGATCAACATCCGGATCTCTCGGCAAATAGGTAGTCTCCAAGTCTCACATCCGACCCTTGTCTCTTGATGACTTCAACATGACTGGCGGCTGGCAGCGCGCTACTCACTAAACGAAGCTTCGTCGGCGCCACTCGAGCGTAGGGCGAGATGCGTGCCCTCCGACTGGCGTGACCCCTCAGCCTCTCGGTACGATGCTACCTTGGAGTAGATCCCTGCTCCTCCATTCAAAAGCCGATATGCTGATTACCAGGCCATCGCTGATACTCTGTACTTCCGTGCCCTGTTGACTGCACGCTGGTCCTGACCGACACAAGTACGACCCCGCAGCTTGCCTATCTGGTCCCGCCATGGGATATAAACAGGCACATCTGCTGGATTGCAATCATGATATGGCAGTACTGAGCAGTCTGCTATTATTATTGACTTGACCCCATGCCTCAATTCCTTCTTTTCCCCGTTTCGGCAGTCGCCTTTCTAGCAGTCGCGGGGGGAGTCTCCGCTGCGCCAACTGCCAGCTGCTCTGCGCACATATCTGCTCCGACGGGCGTGACTTTCGCGTCGGGCTTTGATATCACAACTAGCTGGGGCAACCTCAGTCCATACAAGGATGCACCCGGTTTCAATGTATCAAACGGCGTCCCCCGAGGCTGCGAGCTATCCCAGGTGCACGTCCTGCACCGCCATGCTCAGCGGTACCCCGTTTCTTCCCTCCTAGATGGCGGGGGCATGGAAGCGTTTGCGCAAAAGGTAAAGAACTATAGCAGACTGCACGCCAGCAAAGTCGGCAAAGGGCCGCTGGCTTTCCTCAATGAGTGGGAGTACATGCTCGCCGAAGATACCTTGCAGGTCACTGGTGCCGCCACGGAGGCGACCTCTGGGGCCAGTATCTGGTCGAAGTACGGGAGGCTGCTTTATCGCGCTGGGCCTGGTGTCGCGGCCTGGGATTCTTCCTTGAATGTATATCCCGACGGGAGTGCAAGACTGAAGCCGATTTTCAGGACGACGTCGCAGGCTAGGATCTTGGAAAGTGCTCGATGGTGGTTGAGTAGGTACTTCTCTTCTCCGGAGACACCGCGCCTCTGTCTCCTGCATCTCATACTGACTGCTGCAGGCGGTTTCTTTGGCAATACCGGCGCAAATAGCTCCTACGCCGAGTACGACCTCGTCATCATCCCCGAGGGAGACGGTCTCAACAACACCCTCGCCTCCGACCATTCCTGTCCAGGCGATAAATCAGAAGGGTAACCACCCTCATATCCCAGCCACCATCCCCAGAACCCGACTAACCAGTCCAGCACCCACTCCGCCACGAAATTCATCCCCAGATTCACCAAACACGCTCTATCCCGTCTAGCCTACTTCCTCCCCAAAGACTTCAACCTCACCCCGTTCGACATCACCTCCATGATGAACCTCTGCCCCTACGAAACAGCCGCCCTGGGCTCCTCCGCATTCTGCTCCCTCTTCACCGAGCAAGAATGGCACGACTACGCCTACTCCCTCGACCTCCAATTCTACGGGAACTACGGGCTCGGCGCCCCCAGCGGCCGCGCCCAGGGGATAGGCTACGTCCTGGAGCTCGCATCCAGACTTGCGGGACGCCTTATTCAATCCAGCGATACTAGCATCAACTCTACCTACGACGACAACGCAGCGCAATTCCCGCTCCACCAGCCCCTGTACATGGACATGTCGCACGACGACGTCATCGTCGCTGTCCTTGCGGCCCTGGGGCTCGAGTACTTCAAGTATGGAGAGCTGGGTCTACCAGATACACTTGAGCATGCGCCAGAGCGCACATTCAGACTTAATGAGATCGTGCCGTTCGGGGCGCGGTTCGTCTCTGAGGTGTGGACTTGTCCCGATCAGGATGAGATGACATTCAAAGAGCTAGATGCGACGCTGTATAGGAATCCGGTGGTGGGGTCCTCGGGTGGTACGGACTATATCAGGTTTGTGTTGAATGGGGCGCCGGTGTCGACGCAGGGTTTGGTGGGCTGTGAGCGTGCGGAGAATGGGTTCTGTGCTCTGAGGGATTTTCTGGGGGGTGTGGCCAAGTTGAAGGAGGAGGCGATGTATCAGGTTGCTTGTTTTGGGAACTATACGAGTGGGCATCAGGTTGGGGATGGACGGCCTGTGTAGCTTTTGATTTGAATATTTAATATTCACCATGATGGTGCCTGGTGAATGTAACTGATGATTGGAGTGTACCATGGATGGCCCTATTCAGGTACCAGCCAGGTATTGACTTGAGAATCTATGGATCGATGTTGTCGGATCTCTATGCTGCTCACTATGACCTCAGAATAGCTATGTGAAGGACTTCTGTCCCCCTTCCCCCCCACACCATACTATCTCTCATACTACTTCTACACTCAGGCACACTACTACATCAACACACAATCGTTATCAGTCACTCGTTCACCCAACAAGATGGAGTTCCAGTCTCGCATCGCCCAATACTCCTTCGACGAGATGATGATCGATGATGCAAGCGCATCCCTAGACAGCTGCATGGGCAAGCACCCTTGCGATCTCAGTGCAACATTCAATGAGGCCCTGGACTCCCCCAGCCCGCCATCCACTGAGGAAATCTCAGACACAGAAACAGAAGCTGCGACAGAGATCGTAGAAGAGACAGAGGGCAAAACGGTGCTGCCCTCTCGTCTAGAAGTCACCTTCACCACACCCCTAGACGGCTTTGACCCAATGCAACGCAGGCTCTCCAGGCTTACACACAGACTTCGCCACAGCGTTCTTTATTTCTTGTCTCTGTACGGCATTTCTATCCAATACGCCTTGTATCCCATTGAGGAAAGCGGGATTCAGGGCGTACACGATGCTCTACCGGTTGTGCTCCTGGTTGCGACAGAGCATGTGCCAGTGTCAATGTGGAGAAAGGGAGTGAAGCGCGCGTATGAGCATCTTGTGGACGTTGGGGGCTTCCCAGCCATCGAGATCCCCATGTTGGGACGAGAGGCTCGATCCGAAGATGGAGTGGACATGCGGATGAGCCGTGAGTGCAAGGTGTATCTTACAAAGCTAGTTGCTCGTGAGTTCTGAAGGCCATGGCTGCTTCATCGAGAAGAAGGTCTGGCTGGCATTGATGGCAAAGGAAACCGACTGTTTTGACGATTTGTCTAAGCCATTCAAGAGCCTGGCTTGCAGAGAAAGTCGCCAACACGCTGCGACGTACTACGAGGCGCTCCATCTGTCGACCAATGTTTGGTATATCAAGCGTTGCTTGTTGCTTGTGAGGCATGCACTAATTGTATATGTATCAATATCTTGCAAGATGTGAAAGTCTAAGCATGCCGCCATGCTAGGACGAGTTTTTGCTCATCTGAAGAAACCAAATGTATATGGCAGAGAGAGGAAGAGAAGCAATGCAAACACATGAGTATATCTTCTCGATCAGCTTGCTCTATATCACAACATGCTCCATCAGTGGACATATCCAAGAGACAACAAACATATCGCGCATCGGGTATCTAACAATATACCGGAGAGTGCAGGCAGCATGTAAACAGCGTGAACATGTATCTTCGCTTAAGAAAAGAAAAGTCAACGATGAAAGTAGAAGGCTGAGGCGGCCGGAGGGCCAAAAGAGCCAGCACCGTGATAAAGAATAGGAAATGACCTTAGTACGCCAGAAATGCAGTAGATATGGGAATCGGATAGAATATAAGTGTGAACAAAAAAGAGCTCCAAAGTGACCGAACAACGGGAAGAGAACGAACGGGCCTGCCCGTCAAGGATGTTGTACAATGAGGAAACCATGCTTAGTAGCCCTCATTGTCAAGCATCTCCATTAGAGATTCCAACTCCTGAGATGCCGACAAAGGATCAAGAGGCTCAGCAACAGGACTCAACAGTGCACGGGCTCTTTCTGCCTCCTCATGCAGCTCGTCCGGTGTGAGGACACGTCCGCCAAGCTGTACGTCGTTGACATGCACGCTATATTCGAGAGCCTTCTTGCCTTCTTTGATTAGCTCCTCTGTCCACCCGAGACATCGTTTGAGGCTTTGATTTATTTTCTGACTGTCAGCCAGCAATTCCTGGTGCTTCGCAAGGTCGATGAAGAACCGCTTCTCATCTTTGACCCGATGTCTCGCATCGTGATCAGCAAGCGAATCGGGGCTGACAACACCCTCGTCCAGGGTGGAATCCTCATCACTATAGTCGGATAGTTCCTCCGGAGAGCGAATAGACGAGAGTTCGCTTGCTTCCTCGTCCAATTCGTTAGTTGTCCCTAACGAAGTTCCGGAGAAGGATCGTGTAGATGGCGCCATGGACAAACGGCCGGAGCGACTCAGACGGCGATATCTTCGCAACTCTGCATTCTGCTTGCGCATCTCCCGCTCTAGGGTACGATTGATGGCAAGTAAAGATGAGTTGCTGATTTCCAAGTCAAGGATCTTCCTCTCAATTCGCGCATTGAGAACGACGTCGTTGTTTGCCTGTCCGGTATCCGACTTCACCGGACTCTGTGCAGCTGCTGAAAGATGAGTGTCTACCGAAGTCATAGATCCATTGCTGAGAATTCGAGGCCTGAGCCCCGGCATCGAATCGGATGCAGCACATTCCGCTTCTACCGGCGATTCGACCGTGGATACGATAATCGGGCTTGGCTTCAGACCTTCCTTGGGATGGACACTGCTGCTGGCAGAATCGAGACTTGATGATTTGATGTGCCTGACGGCCGGAATAGGTGGCCTTGCGGGAAAAGCGCCCGAGAATGAGCTATGAGCTTGAGAGCTAACCTCGGAAATGTCATCACGCTGTGAGCTGACTTGTGAAGTAGCGTCCGAAAGTCTCGCCGCGGAGTCAGCGAGCTTAGCTGGCCGTAACCGGGGCGAAGCAGCTGGGAGAGCTTTTGGTGCCAACGCAGGACGAGACGAGCCTATCGATCGCCGCTTGACCGTCGGAGCTGTGATATTTGCCTCCTCGCCTTGAGTGGGTTCCTCGTGTTCTCCATTGGCATATACAAACGCAGCAGGCGAGGATGGTTTGCTTAGTTGTTTGGATCGGATGTCCACCTCGGAAGAATTCGGAGACCGCGCATCATAGGCATGAAAGAACATTCGTGAAGTGGAAGAGTCGGAATAAGAATTCGGCCGCGGAGTATTTGGACGTTCTGTCGTCAGGGTCCTTGCTCGATTCCCTCTGGACGGTTCCAACTTCCCGTTCGAGCGGGCGGGACTCCGCTCCGTTCTGTATCCCCCTGAGCTCGCAACATGGGCGACACCTGCATGCGAATACTGTACTTGCGGCGATGACTGTACGCTGGATGGTGCATTGCTCGGGGACGGAAATCCATCACGTCTGCTATTGCGTGAACCTGATCGAGGGGTGATGTTCACACTGAGGAAGGAGGCGGTCTCGGCATCGGGAGTCGAAGAGGGGTGTTCGGAGGGGGCAAGCCTCTTGGGAGTGCGATAACCACCGGGATTAGCGAGCTTGGGCGTCAAGGGAGATTTGCTGGTTCGATTGAAAGCAGCACTGAGCGTTGGCGTGAAAGGTTTGGCGAGAGGGCCATTGTTTTGTTTATCGGAGGTCATAGTTGCGGGACTTGAGGGGCGGAAAGGAGGAGGACGACTTATGACATTGCGACACTCCACGAGGATCTGCAAGCATGGTGGCACTCGGCCAGCAGATAGAGCGACCTCAGCGGTGTGAGTAGTCTGCGGTACGATGCGAGGGTCCCAATACCCATAAGCAGAGGGGGAAAAAATTAGTATAGATTGAGGGGATAGATAAATATTGAGAGGCAAGGGTGACGATAATAATAACAATCATTCTTAGTCTAGACTAGCACATCGGCCCAAAAACGGTCTAGTGCGTCTCATGCTTTCACCGCAACTGTTGCTCCAGGCGAAACTCGGCGCATTCCTGGCAAGCAAGTTTTAATATCCCCGGATATTCAGATCGAAAATCATGATAATCTGACTAAATCTATCTAGATATCCGTCAGCCGCCTGGAGATCCCGTGTGGCGGTGCGCCTTTTCGGGGAATTGGTGTTATCGTGATCATGTTGTTCGCGCTCCGGTTACTGTTCTTGCATGGGCTGATCGATGTTCATCAACACAGTTACTGGGTCAGACCAGCTCAATGACCTCATAAAGAATGCCGATTGACTTGTTTTGAACAAACACGAGGGGTATTGGTGCTAGGGTCTAAGAATCACATGGTGAAGAACCCCAGTTAGCTAAGGATCGTGTTGGATAAGTTATAACAATACAGTCTAGACTATATGACAAGAGGATTTGTTGATGCCACAGTTTGCTTTAAGATCAACTGCTTCAAAGATTTTACCCTCGGATTTCATCACGGTAGGAGATTTACACCCCTCGTTATAGAAGAAGACGTGGTAAATGTCTAGGAAAGCTGCTGCATGCAAGAGCAGACGACTGCCACAATGTTGTGGCTCGAAGAGATTGACGGGATCATTCCAGACTGAAGAAACAAGAGCTGCAAAATGAAATCTCCTCCCTGCGTGGGGCTGGACTCCTTATGAGATAGCCTCGCATATCTGTGACACGAACAGAAGTAAGGGATTGCTTCGTCAGCGAAGTTCAACGGCGCCGTCGAACCGATCGGTGTCTACTGATGGACTCGGATTGGCCGCAGCGACAACCTCGAATGATCGGTTTAATAGTTTTGGTCTTGCATAACAATGTGATGGGCCGATACTTTATGTCGGCCATATGGAAAGGGCTTTTCTTGCACGGCTCTGGAGGTGTCATGTAAAGAAAAGACGCCTTTGCCGTGGGTCGTGAGGTTCGTGAGACGACTCTTTTGTCGCCTTTCTTTTTCGTCCGATTACCTTCGGTGCGTTCGCTGGGACTACTTCAGATTCATCGGCGGTACACTGGACGGCTTCCTTGATGGTTTCCCTTGAGAGGCAATAATCAACGTGATCATTGAATGCTTTGTCCTCCGCGACCTGAGGCTTTGAACAGATTGGGCAATCCCAGAATTGCGGTTGACTTTCTGACTTATCTGACTTAGGAAGTATGGTAATGTCGCCTCCTTTGTTCGTTTGCTCCGTGTCGGAAATTTCCTGGCTGAGCTGCTCCAGCTCATTGATGTCATCTTGCCTTTCCTGGCGTGCAGCAGCCTCGAAAGCCTCCTCAGCACCGATTTGTTGTTCTGTCATTGCATCAGGCTTTCTGCCAACGACAGACCTCGACTGCGATGCCGCGCCAAAGAAGTTAACATCCACTTTCTTCGTGCTAACCAAGTTGGTACAGCGGAGGCCAAGTAGTCGCAGTTTCATGTTCGGGATCTCCTTTTCCAGCTTCGCTAGCATAGGAAGTGAGAATGCGTAAAGATCTTTGGCGAGAGAAACTGCTCTGGGCGGCTGACATTGTCTGGAAAGCACCTCAAATGTGGCCAGCTTGACCTTGAGAACTAACGTACGACCTTTGCACTCTGTACGAGCCAAGTCCTTCTCAAGTTCCTGCGCCGTATCCCAGAGTTTCTCTCGGAGTAATTGTTTGTCGCCGATCTCATTGAAAGTGCGTTCTGTTCCGACACTCTTTCGTTCATAGTTCTCCACGGGCTGAACCTGCGTTCTGCCCAAGCCGAGAAAGCACTGAATCAGGAAGTGGAATGCTTTTTCGCCGAACAGTCGAGTCAAAAGGGCACGCTGAGGGTAAATGTCACCGCATGTCTTTATGCCGATTGCATCGAGTTCACGTTCAAACACGCGGCCGACACCGTTCACTTTCCGGACCGGGAGAGTTCTCATGAACTCCATAATAGCTTCTCTCTCATTAGGGACACGAAACTGTCCATTGGGCTTGTTGCGATTGGAACAGATCTTCGCGATCTTCGCGTTGGCCGCGATACCTGCAGAGACTGAGATTTTCGTGGTCTCCAAGATCTCCGCCCGCATACGACTAACAGCCTCTTCCGGGTCGATATTGTTTTCTGTGCAATAAGAAGTAATGTTGAGATACGCCTCGTCAATGCTTGCGCTCTCGAAGAGAGGATCATACTGCGCGAAAATAGCGCGAATCTCCTGCGCTTTGGCGGTGTATTTCTCATAGTTCTGAGGAAGGCATATCAACTGCGGACAGAGCTTCTTGGCCACAAAGGATGCCATTCCGCTTCGACATCCGTACTTTCGAGCCTCGTAGTTACACGTCGTCAGGACCCCCTTCCCGACAGCCATGGGCACCGTTTTGAGCTCAGGCCGGTCAAGCTCCTCAACAGCTGCGAAGAATGCATCACAGTCAACGTGTACCACGTACTGAGACAGATCTCTCGTCAGTTCCAGTTCCGCAATTAGCTCGTCGGCCTTTCTCAGATCATGCGACAGGTCCAGTTTCTCTAGACGAGCCTTTTCCTTCAATATGCGCTCGATTTTGGCTGTTAATATCCTATCCCGGGTCTGCTCGTGATGGAAGAATTTGGAGCCCTTAGATGCATCATATATGATCTCAGATACCTTTTTATCTTTAGCTTCTGTGTATTTAATATGGAGAACTGCATAGTCTATACCTTTCGCTGGTCAACCGCATCCTGACCCGCCTTGGTCAAAGACGGTCCTAATAAGTGATACTTCAAAGTTTCGTCTTTGTCAGACGCCTCTTCCGAAGGCGCCTGACCATTTCCGTCAGGCTCCTCATCTTTCGATGTCATATTTATCCCAGGGATCTTTCAGATGGTGACGTTGAAACTGGTGTCGCGCGGCTTTCCTAACCAGGCAGCTATTGAGACGCCTATTCACGTGACCTCGCGTTTCAGCCCGTGTTGTTTGACGTGGTTCTCAGCGTCATCAGGACCGTCCTCTCAGAGCGGTCAGCTATCTCCGTGCATCCTGCCTGCGTCTGCTGCCCCTCATGTGGATTTTGGATTCAGAAGGGGATTTCTTAGAGGGTATTAAATACTTTTTATTGCCACCTTTGGGTCTGGTCTTGACTTACTCTTAACTAGGGAAGCGCGTGTGGCTGCGGCCTGGGAAGAAGTATCTCTTCGGTCGGATAAAGCAAGATGGCGGTACGGCCACTCCTCTGGAGTTCTATACGCTGTACAGCAACATGTACTAACAAAGCCTTATCGCAGTCCGTCATGCAATCCAGCATTCTTCGATATCCCGAAAACACATGGTGATTGAAGTGTCACCGGTCAAACCTGGCGATGGCGTACGATATCCCCTGATCCCAATTTCCCCCGCTCTGCTAATTCGGCGCAGTCGCATATTTACACGAAGTCAGAAATCACCATTCACGACCAGAACTCCAAATGCGGGACGACGGTCGATGGGGAGTCAATTAAAGGTGGAAATAAGAAATTGACTGGGGGCGAACATATCATCAAACTAGGAAGATACCAGCATGCACTGCGGTAAGCAATCCCGTTGTGATGAAAGAACAACAACTCATTTGTGGATTGTTCTCAGGATCAAGTGGCAGCCTACGGTCCTCAGCTTCTCCTTCTCCTCGAAAGAACTCAAAGCGAAAGATCCCCTGGCACACGTCCGCTCGCGTCTCGAAGATCTGGACATCAAAACGATCATTCCGTATGTTGTCGGCCATACCACGCACGTTGTCCAAAGCAAGCGCAATACGGCCAAAGGTCTACAGGCGCTGGTGAATGGGAAATACATAGTACAGGACTCATACATCGATGCGCTAGTTTATGCGGCGACCCCGAGTGATTTGGAGAATCTGGAGTCACTATCGCCCCTGGAAACCGATTTCGACGCTGCGTGGCCGGACCCGACAGAGCATCTCCCACCTCCGGGGAAAGAAGCCGTCCCTCGGCCCGCAGAGGCATTTGCACCGAGGGCTGACAGAATCAACATCTTCGAGGACTATACTTTCGTTTTCTGGGATGCCTCGCAATTCAGCAACCTGCAGGATCCGATCAGCAACGGGCACGGAAAAGCCCTGCTATACCCGCTAGAAAATGGGGTAACCACTGCTGAGGAGATTGTCCAGTTTATGAAGAATGCAGCTGGGCAGAAAGGCCTTGGTGGGGAGAGGGATGGCCCCGGAGGGGTAGTCCTTGTCCGATTCCGTTCCAAGGGCGAATGGGAGAAGTGGTCAATTGAACTGAGCAACCAAGTTGCTCTAATGACAGATCAGCGAGTTATTGAGCAGAACGAATTCCTTGACGCCATTCTCGCAAATGATGCGTCCTGTCTGTGCCAGCCTTTGCCCGAAACGGAGTCAAGCCCTGAGGTTGGGCGAACGCCAGTATCACAACCTCCCGCGACTCCCAATGAACACGTCGAGGTGATTGGTGATTCGCAAGCGGTCGAGGAGCAAAGTGAGCCAGCTAGAAAGAAGGTCAAGTCTTCGAGGATTCGGCCCATTAGCAGCAAAGTGAAATCCTTTGATGATGAATTTGATATATCCTCGATTCCCACCTACACGCAAAACGAACGAGCGGATATGATTGATTCGCAATCGGTTCAGGACATACCGCCTTCATCCGAAATCTTTTCGCAACAGCCCAGTATTCTCGACAACGAAGAAGATTTAGTTTCCAGCCTCTTGCCCGGCGCTACAGCAATGAAACGTCGGCGAGCTGGGACTGTGCAGCGCAGCCTTGGAGACTCCCAAAGCATTCCTAAAACAGACGAACCTCGCAGACCCAAACGACAAAAGTTGGACGTGCTCGAGGCGGCGCGGCAGCATCGGGAAGCGGAAGAGGACGCCCAGCGCAAGCGCCGGCAAGAGGAAGAGGCATCTCTCCAAGATTCTCTCAGAGATACGGACGTTGAAAAACTCAGAAACCTAGCCATTGTGGAAGAGATGGAAATCAAGCCTCGTCCCGGCGTCGCAGAGGACAGTCGATGGGATGAGCGATGGAATGGGCGCAAGAATTTCAAAAAGTTTCGCCGCAAAGGTGAGCCGGGTCAACCTCGGCATCGTATTCAGACAGTTATTGTCCCCTTGGAGGAGGTGACACGGAAGGACTTTGGCATCGGCGATCATTACTGGGTCACTAGCCATGCAACGTCGGATCCTAGGCCATCAGAGAGCCAGCGCGAGCGCTCTCTAAGCCGTGATGTGTCATCTCGTGCCCAGTCCCAGTCCCAGTCCCAGTCTGTTTCTGTGTCTGTGTCTAGGGTCGAGTCTACACCAGCATATCGAAGTCAGAAACGGCTTCGAGAAGTACGTGATTCGGATAGTGATGATGAGCCTCGATTTAGGTTTCGTCGCCGGCGATAACGGCGTCGCAATTATGTTGTAAAATATATATGAAATCTTGAGAATACAGAGCGGATGAAGGTCTCTTAGTAGGTGCGGGTCCTTATTCCTGATACTGAGGAGTCTAGACTAGGATGAGCTAGAAACTGCGGGTCTACCCATAACAATAGTGGCTCCCTTGACATATTTAAAGTGAGTACGGAGAAGTTCGTTGTGAACGGACTGGAGGACTCTCGTTTCTTGATCATTTGAATGAAAAGAGGCTGGTTAAGATTGGATGGAAATTTCTACAGACCCACGGCACTGCAGAGTACTCTCTAGCCATCGTACTTGAGTTGAGAGGAACTCCAGCTGCTTTGGCCGGGCGCACAGGCTGATGTGACTAGTGGGTACGATGGATCCCGGATGATCTTTGAGGCTGACCCATTTGGGTGGTGGAACAAACAATAGAAGAATGAAGTTCATCAATCCAGCTCAAGATGTATAGATGGTATGATGAGAAGATATATTGACCAGGATAATCTTCGCCAGCAAGTTGTGTAGCATAGTTGAAGGTTTCGGGCGCCGGTTTAGATGGGCTTTTCCAAGTATCTGGTGATGCCTTCTAGACGTAAAAATAGCATGCTCCACATCACTGTACTAGTACTGCTTCACTATTATTATTGTTCATTGCATATCAATATAATATTAACAAGCTAATTACATTATTACAGGAAAAATTAGCTTCCTTTCCAGCAGATGATCTATCTGAAGACTAATAATGAGTTGTTTATCTACCCTGTCCGCCTTGAATTAATGACAGCCTTGGAGAATTCTGCCGGTCACACCCCCATCTGTTATGTACCTCTCTCGATGTATCTCTAACTACGTATTTCCCCCTACTGATTGATCTCCCTCCCATCCCGGGATTGATCAACTTTCGCGCTGCAAGTATTAATTCTTAATATTACCCTTTTCTGTCTCATAATTTTTTTTCCTTCCACCTTTTCTTTTTCCCCCAGCGCCTGGTTGCGTCCCTTGATTCCCTTTGCCGTCTCTTCTTATCTTTCTACCATTCTGCTTCCCCTTCTCTTAACTCACCTCTTCCTTGTCTACATCCTCAAATAATAATACAGGCCTATTCTCTCCGACGCTGCCCAACGACCACGACCTGATTGCTTGATTATTGCTTCCCCTCTTTCTTGTTCTGCATGACTGGTACAAAAGGAATCCTTTCTCACAGCATTATCGCTGCCATGCCATACATTGGCTGGTCTTGATGCTACCTGAGTTTATTACTTGCCGGTATCCCCTCCTTCTGGTCCAGTCTTATCTGGTTGTTGCTTCCTTCGAAGCCTTCTATCTTCTCCGCACAGCCTCATGTTTGACATACGGCCCATTCTCGACGTTCGCTGACAGATTTACTGATCTCTGCGAGACTGTAGACCTTCACAATCCTCACGACTTACGACTCTCGCTTCGCCCTTCTGGCGTTGGGTGACTTCTTTGCGCTTCCTTCGTCCTACTCCAAATGTCCTCTGAGTTGTTCTCATCCCCATCATCGCCCCACATGATCTCGACCATTCCTCCCCCTCGTCCTATCTCTGTCAACTCGCTGGAGAGAATTCCAGTAATCCCTACCCTTCCATACTCCAAGGAAGCAAGCCGAAGTGCCAGCGCCGGATTTGAGATCCACGATGACCCGATTCCTTCCACCACTGAACCTGGTCAGCCGGACTGCCAGACTACAACTTTTACGGCGGCGGAATTGCAGGTAAAGTCGATTGGGCCCCAGCCGTATCGGTCCGGGGTGCGCTTCCATGATCTCCCGGCCGAAGTTCACGAGGCCATTCTTGACCATCTGTTCGGGGAACGTGTTTCGGCGCTTACAATGGGGGCTCCTGGGAAGTCTGCCCGTAATTGGAGCAGGTGTCTACGACATCCCAGGAGAAAGGTGCTCTCCGATCTTGCCCTTATATCGCCAGTGTGGAGGGTTCTGGTGCAAGATCGAATCTACAGACATAGTCAGTTGTGCTCTTCTGCTTGCTCTCGTTTTGTTACTAACCAGGCGTGACAGTCAAGATCAAGGGCACCACGGATGAATTGGCGGAGAGCGCAAGTTGGTTCAGTGCACATCCCCATCTGGCCAAGTATGTCCGTCAGGTCGAGGTCTGGGTACCGGTCTGGGGCAACCGGGCAGCCCGGAGTGTGACCGTCTATCAGCCGCGCCGGCGTTTCCATGACGAGCACATAGCCGTGATGGATGTGACAGCTCTTCTGCATGCCACAATGACGTGGGAGAATCCTGATACCTTTCACCCGCGAGGCCACACCTTCTACCTGTCCAGTCACAATGCCACCCTGGAGGACATTTTCCACCATGTAAAGGCGTGCTTTCCCGAGGCGCGGATTCTCACCCTTGAAGGGGGCCATTGCAAGAAGCCGCCTATGATTCGTCATTTTAGGAACGATCCATACGGGCTGGCTGGAAAGGAGTGCTTTCCGGTGTTGCCGAACATACAGATCTTTGTTATGCGAGGAGCGTGGAATATCATGCGAGACTACCAACACTGGCGCAACCTGTCTCAGGCGTTGCCGGGTTTGCAAGAGTGGCACTGTGCATACGCGAAACCGAAGATCGAAGGCTACGACACCATCGCCAAGATTCTGGTCAATCCGCCGCCCTCACTACTTCATCTCAACATCAGCCTGGAAGGCTTTTCGAACAAGGAAAACACGCACTCTTCCTGGTTCAGCGATGGGGCGCAACCGCCACACCTGTGTCGTCTGTTGGGAGAACTCGCCCCCAGACTCATGTCATTGACCTTTACAGGCAAGGTCTGCGCATGTTTTTTCCAGGCAACCAGCAACACGTCGCCGCCTTGGCCGAAAACGTCAAATCTCCGATACCTAGACCTGGCAGTCAAGACATGCTGCCGTGAAAAGAAGGCGGGTTCGGTCTTTCCATTCTTTGAGGACTTTTCCGGCATCGGGAACATGAACTTCATCCGCTCGTTCGAGAAGCTGGTTGTGGGGGCGGTCCAGAGCCTCGGAGTCCATCCGTCGTTGAATCAGATTCGCATCCGGTTCATCGATCTCGACTCGGCCTGTCCCCTGCTGAATCCGTACTTTCAGCTTTCGGGGAATTTATGTACCGGCCTCTGGAGCGACCGGATTCTGTATGCCTTGAATGAGTTCCGCCCGCAGGCACGGTTCGTCGAGCTCCGAGACGGCATCTACCCGCAGTACGGGCCAAACTCGCAGATCGTCGGGGCCGTTCTGCCGCGCGCGCGGCCCTTGAGTATACATGCCTGCGCGTACAGGATCATCGCGGATGCGGGGAAGCCTTGATCTTGGATTTTGGCTCGACGATTCATGCGATGCCAGACTGCTAGACTCGAGAGAGTCGAAGAGAGATGATTCGATCTAACCGTACCTGATGCCTGTTAGCCACGTGATTAAAATTTTTTGTTCAGAGTACAATACCCTTGCGTTCATCTGATGGATGGCGGAATAGCTTAATGAATCAATGGAATGAATGAAAGCCATGTGCCTCAAGGTGTAATGTAATCCTAATGTCATATTTACCTTACCCACTAATATACATGCCGACACCAATCCTAGAATCAAGGCATTCAAGCTAAGCCACCCACATCCTCAACAATAATCCCCAGAATCCAAACATTGACCGCAAAGAAAAACAAACTCGCCAGGAACAACCCCGGTACGAAACTCGACAGACCCAGGAACTCGAGGTTATAGCCCTGTTGCAGCCAGAGAGCCTAAATTCGTAGTATCAGCATCACTATCAACATCAGTAGGGGAATAAAGAATGAGGGACGCACCTGAGCAACAACCCATAACAGTCCAACCATTACCCCCTTTCTCGGATTCTTCATCAAAGATGAAGCCGGGAGGTAGAATGGGAGGAAGATGAGGTACCAGAGGAAATACTACGGACATCAGCATTTACCATCGAAAGATGGACAGGAAGGAGGTAGACATACCTGACTAGTACAGACCTTATTAAACGTCACAAACGCAAACGTCTGCGCGAGCATCGTCCCCGCCAGGCTCTTCTTCCCCAGGACGAGCGGGATTACGACCACCGACAAAAGCAGCTGAGGGATGAAAGCAAGCGACTCAAAGGCGGTGCGGGCGCCGCCCGCAGCGGAGAGGTAGAGGAGGGTGCTGTAGGGGGAGAAGTTGTGGCGGTGGTCGATGCGGGTGAGGTGGTGGAGGTAGGTGTTGTGGGCGAAGGGGAGGCCGTAGAGGATGTACATTGAGACGTTGAGGGCGGAGAAGGTAGCCAGTGCGACGAGCGTGAGGTGGATGCGGGCCGGGGTGAGGAAGTTGACCATCTTGGACAGGATGTCTTGCCCTTTGTCTTTCTCCTGCGCAGCTCTAGCTCTAGCTGTAGGTGTACCCCCAGGGGAAGACGAACCATCCCTCTCCGCATCCAACCACCAAATCACCGCCGGCCCATAAATAAACGGGTAAATCTTGAAATGCACACCCAAGCCCAAAATCACTCCCGCAAGACTCACCCTCCGGCTGAGCACCGCCCACAACAACCCCACAACCAACACCCCCAGCAACCCCTCCGAGCTGCCGCGGGTACTGATATTCGCAACCATGGGGTTCAGCAACCAGACACTCGCGTACTTCAGCGCCCGCTCCTGACTCATCCCATACGCCGAGACGAGCACTCTGGCAATCAACCAGCCCGCAACAACATCCGCAAGCGCAAACAGCGCCTTCCCGAAGGAGAAGAAGCCGGGGATGGTGTCCCATGTCGTCGGGAGGAGAAGCCAGGCGAGCAGCGGGGTGTAGCGGTACGTGTCGCGCGCGTAGGGCGATGTACCGCGCGAGACGTACCGCGCTGCGTCGGTGAAGACGAGGTAGTCGATGTCGGTGTATTTGATGGGGGAGTGGGCGTCTTGCCAGGCGCCGTAGACTAGTAGCACGGCGCGCAGAGCGATCGACACGCCGATGACTTTTGGGGGGGAATTGAAGAAGCTTGTCATGGTGGTCTTGCAGCAGCTGCCAGGCTGTCCCGACTGGGATGATAGGTTGGTTTGTCTGGACTCTTGACTCTGGATAGCCGGTAGGCACAGCAGCTAGCGACGCTAGGATGTTCAGAGTCTTTAGCAATTATTTCATGGACAGTTTCATGCGTCCACTGTGCTATAGGTAACCGTATAATCCAACCATGGTCAATTAATGCTAATTCTGGTCTGGTCTTTACCTGGCCATAAGGAAGTGGACTAATTGGGTTGATGTTTTGTTGGCGATCTGCAATGGATGGCTGACTCAGCAGGATGCTAGGCAGCGGCCAATCATATCACATATCATCAACTATAGCAGAAAAAATGTACCTTAGTTGAGAGATACACATGTGATTTCAATCAAGAATTGGTATTTGCATGTCCATAGCTCAGATCATCAATAAATACGCGCTTGACCAGCTCGTATACGTCGTTTCATGATTCCCACCGTAATTCCCACGTATCGCCATAATATTCCCGCACGTCCATAAGCCGAGGTATACATATAACGAAAGTGCCAGATCATTTATACAAAAGATTGGATATCAAGCAAAGAGTACACTAAAGATAAAAGACAATCAAGAATCCCCAGAATGATATAAGGCTCCCCCTATGGTTGAGTAAGCGAGTAAAAGGGCACGGATGGATGCATGTAATAAGTTGAATCGGTCATAGGACTGCCATAGAAGCCAGGGGCATTGCCGCCGCACTTCATGTCGTTTGGGTTCTCAATCTCCGAGAATCCAGATAATATGGTTGAATCACTCCAGCTGAGGAAATCCCAAAGTTGCTGGCCGGTCGTCTCGTCCATGAATGGCGGTGCCATCGGATCTACCATTCCACCGTCATTCGCAATCGCAACACCTCGGCCGGTTTCGGTCAGTGCTGAGACTACTCCAGGCATCATTCCCGACATGTTGCTTTCGCGCCCCTGGGCGCAGCTTCCACTGGCGTGGCCGCTCGCTGCGCCGCCCATATCAGAGCCTCGTTTGCTGGCTTCGAGTATTCTTGAGACGGCTTCCAGCGTCCGCTTGGCCGTGGGGCTCCAGAGCTGCATCCGTGCCAATACCATCATCGCCGTCTGAACCTGCGACTGACACGACTGGACAGACGCTCTGGGATCACTCGCTGTGGGGTCGTTGAGGAACAGACCCAGAAGAGGAACCATTGTTGCCTGGTAGATGAGCCAGGTAGCGTTCCAGCCGGACATTTGATGCGACTGGGCCGTAGAGGATATATCTTGAATGGTGGTGTCGGCTATTTCTCTGCATTTCTCAATAGCGGTCCTTTCCTCCGACCTCAGCGCAATGTAGGGAACTCGCCGCATAGCATAGCTCAATAGGGTCGGCCGGTACAGGAGCATGCGCTGGTTATAATAGCGCCATCGCATGATGGTTCGCGTGTTCGAAATGGATTCGGAGCATGGTTCATGGTCTTTGAGAATGGAGGGCAGGTTACCGTACCATTCCAACAGCTGGCTGTCCAGGTGGGACATCTCGGCATGTTTCGTCAACGGTGCGACAGCCAAAACCTCTTGTATCTGTGTAGCAATCTTGCAAAACCGAATGTTTTCAAGCAAGGGAAGGATATCGAGAACGTTTCCCTACTGGTGGTTAGAATTGACGGGATACTTCAGAGGCAGCAAACGTACGGTTTCTCTATGATTTGGTAGCTTCACTGTAATGGTGGGACCAAGACGACCCATGCTGGGTCGACCCAGAGTCATTCCGCCCCATGTATCCATACAGAACAACGACCACCATGTTCGGCGTTTCAGATCCATGGCTGAGATTTTCTGTTTGTTCGACGCATCCTGGCTGTAGGAAAACTCCTTGTGCAAACCCAAGGCGGCCGCCATGCGGAGCGCAGCTCCCATGAGTGAGTAAGCCAGATTTGGCTCACTGACATAGTGTAAATAATAACCGCCGATCAACCCCAAAGTCTGGATAGTTTCCAGGTGCGAGGATCCTAATGAATCCAGGTTTAGATAGCTTTTAGAGCGCTGGTAATAAATCTTGTGAGATATGTCATCGGACGGGCATGCTGCTATGCTTCCCAAGGCAAAGACAATGTTTACAAGTCCGAGCCAGCGGTCGTCTCTGCGGTGTCCGGAAAGGTACGTCTCGCGAAAGGCCTGTTCGTCCAGCATGGGCACAAACGGCTGGAACCAGGTGAAGTAAGCGTCGAGCAGTTGCATATCGGTCGCTTGCATATGAGCCTGGGGTGGTGTAACCGGATGCTGCTGAGACGATTGGATGTGCCAGTTCTGATGCTCGGCTGCTGTTGAGTAATCATGCATTGAATCTCGGGGAGCAGCGGTCGCTGGCGTCCGAGAGAAATAGGAAAGAGATCCTGGATCAAGCCAGACAATGACTTTCAAGACAGCGTGTATAGATGACACGCCTAGGTATGAGGAAGGCTGCTTAGCTGACAGGGATAGAGCATTTACATCGTCTGAAATTCCATTCGTGATATCGCTGGTGCTCTGGTTTCGGCTATCGCTTGGATCTTCTGGCATCGTCTGCAATGATTCCAAGTTGCCATCTTCATTGGATATGGGGGAAACGTGCGCGTCAACTGACGCAGAGGTGGCCGGAGAAGCCGGATGTTGCGCCTGCGCCTGCGACGGGCCCTTACCCGAGAGCTCTAAAAGCTTCTCGCGGGGTAGACTGACGAGGGCCTCGGGGGAGGTGCTGGGGAATAACTTCTCCAGGACACTCCGATACTCGTCTAGAGTGGTCGACAGTTTTTCCACATGCCTATCGCGTTCAGCTCATTTATTCCGTCTACTCCGCGGAAAGATGGAAAGCTCGGGATAGAGCTCACAGATAAATAGGAAAAGAACGTACCTTCGGGAAGGACGCGGATCTGAATAATGGCACTGATCGGCCTTCTTATACCATCTACACGCCTCGCATGGTTTCTCACCATCGCATTTGATCTTCCGATGCCGGCATGAGGTGCAGGCCCGAAGGGTAGTGACTCTCCGCCCAATGGACTGCTGGCGCTCCCGACCCTTAGCCGGAGTTGAGGCACCAGGGTTTTCAAAACCCTCAAAGGTGTGAAACATGGCAAGAACGAGCTCTGATCAAATCAGATCAGAACTTGAGCAAGCTAAAGGCACCATGCGGCTGCGACATGCTAGATTTAATCAGCCAGAGAAGGCCATCTGTATAGACCGGACGACTTTTTTTTCGTGCAGGTGTGGTGTAGAGGCTGCCAGGATCAAGGCCGTCGTCGAAAGTGCGGAGAAACTGGGGAATGCGCAAAGAGATAGTAAGAGAAGAAAAAAAATATAGATAACGATATAGATTAAATTAAAAAAAAAAGGGATCACGGCACGATAGTCCTGCAGTTGATAAAGATGAAGCCACAAAACAGGTGGGTGGTATGATTCCGTCGGTGGAGAAAGCAATCAATTACAAGAAGATGAGGGAGGAAGATGAGAGAAAAAGTCGAATCAACTGGGTGTGAAACTCAAGGTACGGTGAGAGGATTTAGAAGGGCGAACGAAGCACAACTAGAGAGAGAGAAAAGATGCAGTAGAAATATGCAATTCCCGTTGGCAAAATTATCTCTTTTATTTTCGTGCATTATCATTATGAATGATCAGTGATCATTTTAGGACTCGACTCCGAGTGTTTTAAACTACTCCGTACTGCAAGTTACAAGTACTCCAGCGCTACTAATAGAAGCGAAGGAGTAGTCCCTGAAAGATCGTCGCCATCAACTGTGCTGGTCCGCTGCATCCTCCCCCGCATTCCGGGGTCTACCGTTTACCTACTTTGTACAATTGGACTGCATGGCGCCATGGGTGACTCACCACAGTGGTACAGTCTCGAGATTCTTCTCACTTCGCTGATCCTGTCTTCCATAGCTCAGTTCCATTTGCCTGGTCCTCTGGGGGGGGCAAAACGGGGGAGGGGCGAAAGGGAAAAGAGAAAGGAAAATAATATTCATATTACCAAAGAATGGAGAAAGGCGAACAGTTAGACCCGGCCACTACCTTGCCTTAGTGGCTTTTCGGTCCTGCCGGTAGCTGGAAGGCACCCGGCCACGCGTGATTTATCACTGATTGGTAGATCCAACATCCATTCCAATCAAGTCCCATATTCTTCCATTTAATTTTCTCTTGTCCCTGTTGGACGCGTACGATGTGTTAGTTCGTCACCGCCCAGTGTGCGAACTTTAATAGATTCAGGACAAAGCCTGTCGTTGAGCTTAGGATTCCAGTCAAGCAAAGACAGTCTTCCTCACCGGCCTTTTCTTGCGTTGGTCTGGCCCTTTTGCAGTACATCTCCGATACTCTGTTCTTGCTGACTTAAATCCAAGGGACGGGGGAAATGCGATATCTAGACTAAGACTTAATAGGTTGTACTAGAACTAGAATTCCCATGTTCTGCTCAAGTACATGGCAGACCATCTCCGATAGCGCCGGGGCCTCCTCGGCTGCCATAAGCGGAATTCTACCTGAGCGCTGCGCAGCATAAGTATATCACGATAATAGTGAGCATGGCGCAAGGTTGAAAACATCGTTACTCTTGAAACCCGACCACGACTTCAGGGAGATAAGTTGCGACCTTCGCGACCTGCTATTTGACGAACAATACTTCCATGCAGGAGTAAGGTTGATTTCCCCGCAAACTCAAGACCATGGGGCCCCATACTTGTTGCAGACAAGTAGCAATGATCAAATCATCTGATACATTTCTCAATTGCAGATACCGGGTGGCAAAAGAGCAGTGGTTGACGAAGAGATCGCACAGGCTGGTATGAGCAGGAGTGACGGCCACTGATTCAAGAGAATAGAGACATGATCCCTGCACCCATTTTAGTGCACCCATTTTAGTGCAATTCGATATCAATATTAGACGGTTCGCCTTACGGACAAAAGACCCAACTCCAGGAAGCAAAGGATAGCGTCTATCGTCTTGTGGCTTGTCCTCCACCGGTAGCCGTCGGCTCACAGCCAACCACGA